CATAATTTCTCAAATAAAGAAGTCTTGTTTGTGTCTGGTAGATATATTTTTTATAGGTATATATATATATTCTCATGTCAAAGGGCTTTTTCTAACATGCATTATCTCAAACAAAGAAAAGTTATTGCATTAATAAAAGTAAAAACAACTCTTTAATTTTTTGCATGTGAACAAAGCTAGGCTCAAAACAAAAATCTACGATCTTTACATTAAACTTTAGATGAACTCAAAAATTTTTATTGGGAAAGAGATCAAGCTCGATCAGTTGATTGCAAGATATTGAAATAGCGGCAATAATTACAGCATAAAGCTAAGTAATAATAAAATCAAACTCTTGCACCTATTAAGGTGAGCTTTGCAGTCACTTCGTAATATCTTACATTATTATTTTTACATCAACGAAGAAGATGCGAATAAATACGTGAATAAATAAATTCAGAATAATTTCCTAGAAAAACTGAAGATATGATCGAATGCAGTTTGAATGACAAGTATACCGCCTTTAATACGTAATCGAATATTTCGTAAACGACAATGTGGTATTCACATGAAATAAACTTCGGTTCAAGCCCAAATATATTATATTATATCGAATTCGAATAAGTTAATTTCGTTAATTTATTATATTATATCATTATATCGAATAAGTTAATTTCGAGCTTCGATGAAGCTCGCACATCTTAATACTGGCGCAAAACTTTTCGTCAATAATTAAAATTTTTTACACATGACGTGCGAATATTTACCATATGTGTTACCTACCATGTATATCATTAGGCATTCCTATGCTCTGAATCAATATTGTGATAAAGAGATAATTTTCAGTTCCCCGGAAAAACTTGTACCAAACGGCAAAAAAATGTTTAAAAGGCCAAAACAATTAAGAGTCGACTCTGATTATGAAAATGTCATTGTAAATATTATCGATCGTTGAAATTTTTATTACTGATTGCTGGTTGGAGTACACGGAGACTACGAATATAAATTAATCTATTTTGGTGAAGTTTTGGATTCTGACAGTTCAAATTGCTAGGAAAAATTATGCTTTCTATGAATGCGTACAACGTAAATTAACAGGTAATGGTTGTCTTTTTCTAGTCGATGTACGTTACACGATTTATTAACTTTTATCGATATTTGCGATCATTCCATCAAATAAAAAATCCACGCAATGAATCGTGAGTAATTCATATAATTTATTTTTCAATAACTGTGTTCATGGTTCATATGAATAAGGAGATCAGTAACGAAAGTGGAAGATTTTAACGTGCGCCGATCGCTGGCGCTCGCGCCACGAGGGAGACATCGTTCCGAGGCCGACAGCGCGACATCCTCTCTGAACGGCGGCTAGTGACACACTGGCTGGCCGCGTCCTGCAAGACTGTGATTTGCCCAGACGAGGGTAAGCCTCCTGCCCTCGGATGTACTAAAATCTAGTTCAGCCCTTGACAAAGTTTCAAATAAATTATTCAGAGAAGAATCCTGGAATTTAATTACTTAAAATTTGAATGGCGAGATTATAAACCATCAATATTTTCTTACTAAATCCTGACTAAAGTTATTCGAGTCATTAAAACAGGCCAAGGAGAAACGTACTAGATGCGTCTAAAAAGTACCAGTCTTGCCACTCCGGTCCATGCCGTGCCATTGGCACCGCTGTGTCGGTAGGCGTGGTGTCAGGAGATGCCCGCACGTGAAACCGAACAAGCTTCGCATTTAATGAGTCTTCTAAGACGCTTAAAAGACTATATTTCCACACACGAGTTCAATACTGAAGCTCAAACTTCACGCTAGGGATCCTTCAAAGCTACAGCCGAAAATTAGTTTTTTTTTTTCATCCTTTTAAGGAGGATTAACGATGCAATAAAATTGGTCAAAGGTTATCCCGAAAATGTTATTCAAAAATGGAATATTTCTATGAACAAATTCATATGTTATATACGGGTGGAGTTGGCAAATTGTCTCTAATTGTTTAAAATTAGAAGTAACAAATATTTTAAGGTATTATTCTTTACTGAAAAAATCAGCTAATGAATGTGATGGGAATGAGCAGATGAAGGGACCGAATTATTGATAAATTACTAATATATCGTAGTGGTCTTATCGTGATATTAGCCATGTTTCCTCAAATTACGCTGAGTCGTCCAAAAATTTCGTTTCAATATTGAAGAGGAAGAATGTCCGTTCATGTTTCTTTTGTCATTAATAATCCATAATATGCATACATGATGTAGTGATAACCCTGATTAATGCGTATGGTTTGGTCTTTTTAGGAAGGATATTGAACTTAAACATAACTTCGGATTAGAATAATGTTGAATTTGTATATAATGTGAATTTCATTGAAGAAGAATAAATTTGCTTCTTCAATGCAACCCCCAAAAAAGAAAATTCAATACTTTCATGTCATTTGCTTTCTCCAACCGATTATCATCAACTCATATAACACATTTTAACTTTTCACTCTATTTCTTTTTTTATCCCCTCTTCTTTACGTTCCTTAATTCTTCTCAACTGTTTTAACTTCGCATCAAACATACCCGCGCTTGTTCTCATGCCCTCACTTCCCTCTAATACTTCGTGTCATTATTTATTTTCATTTTGCTACGTTATATACTATCCTTTCTCGTATATTTTTGAGTCACTTTTCCATATCTCTCCTAAATCTCGACTTTAAAAATTTCACCCAATCTACTTTTTTCCGTGTTATTCATCTACTTCATTCACTCTTCTTTTTCAGTATTTCTCAGTACTTATTTCCATCATTTATTCATTCACTTTTATTATATTACACCCACTCCCTCTCCTCCCCTCACAAATTCAGTATTCACGATTTTCATTCACTTTTCTCGTCTGCACGCCCAATTCCCTCGTCTCTTCTTCCATGCATCGCTTCAACTCATCTTCTCTGCAATCGCCCTCTCCCGTTCACACGTTCTTCGTACATTCCTACTCACTTTCCTACATTTCAAATATCCGTAAACTCTCACACGTCCCTCTCATCCCACTCTTATTCTCCCACACGTCCTGCTCCTTCAACTCTTATTCACCAACTCTACCCACTCCTCCCACTCTTATCCCTCATTCATCCCTTTCTCCCCACTCTTGTTCGCCCACTAGCCCCCTCCTCCTTCTCTTATTCCCCCACTCCCTCCACTCTCATCACTCATTCATCCCTTTCTCCCCACTCTTGTTCCCCCACTAGCCCCCTCCTCCCACTCTTATTACCCCACTCCTCCCACTCTTATCCCTCATTCATCCCTCTCTCCCCACTCTTGTTCCCCCACTTGTCCCTCCTCCCCTCTCTTGTTACCACACTCCTCCCACTCTCATCCCTCTCTCCCCTCTCTCACTCCCCCACTCGTCCCTCTCTTATCCTCCGGTCGTCACGCCGTAGCCCGGAGCGTCTCCTAATGATCCGGCACATCAAAAGCGTCCGGCGTTCAGATCGCGCAAGTTCGGACTTCGTTAATTTTTGCTACGGTTTTCAATAACGCGCTACGGCGCTCCAGAGGTCTACGGTAACGCAGGCGTTTCTTCGGCCGGTAGCATAAGAAATATTTAAACTTTTATGATCTATTAGTTAGGATTTTATCATATGTAATATAATTATTATATATATTCACTGTTATTATATTAATTATTGTATATTTGATATGTATAGTTTGAATAATATTTAAATATGTAGATATTCTTTGACGCCGTACGCTCAATAACGTACCACGAGACGCGTGTTCAACACAGTCAATGTCCACTTTGAAATTGATGCATTTTAATTTGAAATTAATAATACAATAAAGCTGTTGTGAGTTTAATTTTTTACATACATCGAAATATTGTTTTTATCTGTCAATCTATGTTAACATTAATGTTTAATATGGGTAAACTTGTTACTTTGCTTGTGGCAAACGAGGATAAATGAATGAAATCGTACATGTATTCACTTTTATTTCACTAAATCTAGAAATAACATAACTGTATGACACCTATCATAAGTAGTCTTAAATCTGTTCTTATTATATTTATTCCTAATACATAAACTTAAGTGTTTATAAATGCACATAGTAAGATATATGGGGTTAGTATATGAATACCACTATGCATTGATGCAACCAAATGCTACAAAATAACATTTATAAATTGAATCATAAAAAAATTATGCTGTCGAGCGTTCAAAATAGTCCCTATACTAAAGACTAAAAATGGAGGTTCATTTTAGAATCAGGCAAAATTTTACTAATCTATAACTTCATTTCAATTCTGAGAAAAATGTGGCATTCACAGATGGAAATCTGGCAAACCTGGAAAATGTGGCATTCTTTTCAATTTTTTACAAGAATTCTAAATCCGATACAGCCGCTTGATCATGCAAGCTTTTTAATATATATTACTTTAACAATGGGTATAGAAATAACATAATACTGAAAAAATTATGTATCATTTGACAATTATTAAAGCGATTGTATGAAGCTAAAATATAATAAGTTGTGTGGGTAAATGGTTCATATATAGTTGTTCATGTTAATATGAACAATGCGTTGGCTTTTCGAAAGTCATTAAGCCATATTTCATATTTCTCGCTCCTTTTGCTTTTTGTGGCGGTTAAAAAATGCATCACATGATTAAATTGGAACAGAATTTCAGTTAAAAATTCATTAATTGGTGCCTAATTTTCAACGAATTTTTTTTGCGAATAGTTTAACAAGTATCAGGTGCATATTCTTAAGAAAGCCCATAAAATATATATGAGAGAAAGAGTTAATTTCCAATAAATTGTTCAGTAAATGGTTACAAAAAATTTGTGTGACTTTTCAGTTAATAGTTTACTAAATATTACAGAACTGAAACTATATTAACAGTAATTAATTCGTTGATTAGGTTTCGAATTTGTGTAAATTCTCACTAATTGACTGTTTATATATGTTCCAAATAGTAAACAAAAGAATTAAATATTCGGAAATATTGAAAACTTAAATTATTAATATGAATAGGTTATAAGATCAAGCAGTCTGTGCTCGGGCCACCGCCATGACGATGCTGTCGTAGGCGTCATCGCGGCTCCGAATGCCGCCGAAAAAGTAGCTCTGAAAATCATTAAAGATAAATGAAAACACGAGGACAAATCTTCTAAAGCTTAAATCATTTCGAGACGCTTAAACATAATTAAATTACACCTTTACTAACCTAGTAGTTCTGTTCATGAATTGAGTGTGTAAGATTCTTCTTTCCGGCTACTGGCGTTACTCAATCCGATGTAAATACAATATTTTATTACTGCTGATGAAGATGGCTCACAAAAAATTTTGAATCGACATATTTAAAAGCCAGTTTTTTAAAAGTTGGATGCCCTATGTGATGAAATCATGACGAATACAGCAATTAAAGTTTAGATGTTTCTTTTTTATGTAGACTGAAGAACGCGACGAATGAACTTTTTTCGAAAGAAACGCTGACGATATTCATAGTGTATAATGTGAAACATTCATAATATAAAATTTCATTACAGTTTAATCCTATGTTTCTTTTCATTACGAACGACTCGGTGACTAAAATGAAGTACTATTTTTCAGATAAATCTTATACAATTACGAAAAATATTCCTTACCTGAGGTTGAGTTCGATTCTTGCGCCTCTGAAGTTTCCTTTTCATTTTCTTCTTAGAGAACTTCCGGCGCTGTACCGCCTGCGAGCTGACATCCATGTTGTCGACTGGGACACAAGCCGGGGCGTCGGGAAGCTGAGGCTCTTCACCCTGAATATTTTTGTCTGTCGAGTCGCCTGATCCAAAGGACTTATTTTCTGCAGCTGAAAGAAGTGGAATAACATATTCAAGCCAATTAGGTTACTGATAAATACCGGCATATTTTACGCGGTATTTTCAGTTTCAAAAATAATTGTCGAAAATTGGAAATTTGTGTTACATTGTACTTATAGAAATGTTTTTCGAATTAGAATCTTGAAGCTTCAAGCTTCAACATAAATGAAACTGAAAGTAACCGAAAGTGCGTTTTAAATTGAAAATTAAGTAATTTTCACTGATGCCTTCCAAGCTTCAAGAATTGAAAAAAATTTTTATCTCTGCTGATAAATTCTTGTTCAAGAAGAAAACGAGTTGGTCTCTCAACCAACATTTTTTTAAATCATGCCTCGTACTTCAGTCTGAAATTATTTCAGACTTGCTGCGACTGCGACTTTAATTTGTCTTGTTTCTAATTAGCCAAATCATAATCGAATTATCATCGAATAATCAGGCAATAATCATCAATAACCTATGCTATTGTCCGGAGTAGCAGCAACGGGTGCAAGCACTCCGGTTTTCTCGACAGTTTCTTCCTCTCCCGCCGAAGATTGCGGACTGAGGCCCGCATCTTCAGTATTATTCTCATCCGGCTTCATGCAGACTTCAATGGCCATGCCACCTCCAGGTATCCATGAGCAACTCTCGGCCTTCAGCACTTCAGCGATGTTCGCAAGTGCCAACTTGATGTTCTTAGCGCGAATAGAGCGACTTCGTTCGAAGCAAAGGAAGCTGAAGGAAATACAAAAATAATTCTGGGCCACTATGCCCCAGTATGATAGGAAAAAATAGCATTGCGCATGATTGGGTCGGTTATTGGTGAGTGGGATTTGTTTGGGGTTGGGGAAGGGATTGGGAACCCGTCAAGGCTTTAGATGGTTCAAGCGGGTGCACATAGGTAATGCATGAGAGGGATATAATAAATATAATAACCTGGCATCATCAACTTCTCACTGTGATATTGCTCAAACCTCACATCATGGATCATATTACCCCAAAAGAAATTTCACATTATAATTAAGGTTAATCTAATCACCTTTACTTTACGCTCACATCACTCTCAAACGACTCTCGTATAAGCTCCCATTATCTTGCCATTATTCCCACATTACCCTTCCACCTTCTTCAAATTAATCTTAAATTACCCATTCATTGCTATTAGATTACCTACACATCACCATCCCACTACCTTCACAAACACAATACATTACCACAAGTAATCTGAAATACCCCCACCTGCGTGTGAGGTACAGCCTGCCCGTCTTGAAAGCTGACGTCAGGCTGCGGTCGCGGTTCACTAGCGTGCAGCGGCGCCCGCCTGTCCAGCCTGCGCAAGAATTAATTAATAAACTAACTCGGGCATGATTACAACACTGAATTATGTTTCTCATCGTTATGCATTCGGTTGTGATGTACATATGACATGTTTACGACACTGAATCATGTTTCTCATCGTTATGCATTCAGTTGTGATGTACATATGGCATATTTACGCCACTAGATTATGTTTCTCAACATTATGCATTCGGTTGTGATGTAAATATGACTCGTTTACGTCACTAAATCATGTTACTCAATGGCGTGCAGTTTCTAGTGATGAGATAAGTGATATATTTACGGGCCTATGTCATGTTTTTTTGTAATGAAAGCTTCTTCGTAACAATATACTTGATTTAGCAATAAGAAATTACTCGTCTGCATCTCACCTTGCAACGGGACCTCCGACAGAGGCAGGTTGAAGGCGTAGCAGAAGCCCCACTCAGGCATCGCGGCTTATTTTGAAATTTGTTTTGATATAAAAAATTGTATTTTTTCAAATCATTAATTCTGTCAATTGATTCATACATTGTCTCCAACTCTACGCAAGTGTGCAAAATTTCAGATCGTTTGGACAGGTATATGTGTGTTAAATATCGATTATAAGATTTGTAGCAGACAAACAAACAAACAACAAGAAGTGAAGTTAAAGAGAAGTGTAATAATAATAGAGAGACCTGGCCACAATATGGTTCAATATTGTATGTTTGAAGACGGCAGCAGCCACAGCAGCGCGCAGCAGCAGCTGAGAAGGAGCGACCAGCGAAGCGAGCAGCAGCAGCGCTGTAGCGCAGTACAGCACCCAGCTCAGTCTGTGCTCCCAGCTCACAAGTCTGCTAGGAATGCGTAACTGCTAGTCCCATTTAGGCGGGGCAGTTGAAATTACTGTCATTACGTTTTGTCAAAATTGTAGTATGATTATTATCTTGGCTTGGGAAACAAAATTATCGAGCGTCGCTCGGAACAGAAAACTACACTTTAGAACTTTCAAATAAAAAAAACGACTTCGCAACAGGTTTGAATCGCCATTCAAGATCCATGATCGATAGATCATCGCCAAATATGAATTATGCATGGATTTACTTTCATACATGTAGACGTGCAATTAATGGGAATCAGTCGAGTCTCGTTGTTGCCTTGACCATGAATTCACACTGAAGCAGCGAGAAAAAAATATTTTTAAGAGATTACAGTAAACTCAGAATAAACATAGGTCACGAAAAAAACCGCTCACTTGTTCAACGATTCGGCAAAGGACACGGTGGCTCCCAAAATGTTCTGCGCTCTCTTCGCAACCTGGAGTAGGAAAACAATCTTATCACCAATCCCCTCCGCCTTGCCGTTCTCGCTATTCTTGCCTTCTTTCTGATCTTTAGCGGTCAATTTACAATCTTTTTCCCTGCCTCCAGCAAGCTTCTTGGATGTCTCCAGCTTTTCTTTCTTCAATTTTTTCCAATGTTCCTCTGTTCTACTTGCCTTCTTCAGTCCCCATGCTTTAGGCGACATGGCCATTTCCTCTGTATCATTTTCTTCTAAAATTTCTGGCATTTCTTCACTGATGGTATCCAAAAGTTTTGATTTCCTATAGAATCCAAAGCTCAACCTAAGAACTGATAGCTTTAACACAACCTGCCGAAAAACATGCATGGTTGACCTCATTGCGGAGACGACGGAAACTGCGAAATTTTTCATCGACTGCAGAATTTTGGATTTCAAATTATCCACTCGTTCCCGCCAACGCCTGGAAATTAATTCCCTTTATTGTACACATAATTATGCAAACAAATAAAGTTTTGTAAATATTCTCAAATTTGCAGACATGAAATTGTAAGGATCAATTAAACTCAAGTACCTACAGACCAATATTTGCAAATAGGGGGATTTAATCCAAAATCAATTTTTTTTATCTTCACATCCAAAAATGAGACGAACAATGCAATCTCTTGCTCCTCATTTGGAGTGGTGAGGGCAAGTCGCGCAATATTTTAGAGCCGCAGGTTTTATGTAATTTCCTTGATAGACAGAAAATTTACATCTACGCATTATTTTGAGAGCATTCAATTATTTTCTATGAAAACAGGAACAACGTAAATGTTTACGAGTACGTTGATTGAGATCCTTCTCAGTTTGACATCGTGCAAATAAAATTGAAATACCGAGATATTTAGAAATAGTTCTTTATGCTGTTAGGCATTGACGAACATAAAATTGTTAATAATACATGATTAAAATAATAAAAGTTAGTTTTTATAGTTATTAAAAATAATAATAAATTATAGCTGTTCAGTTTGGACATGTCGGTCAGTTTGGAGCCTGGAATAGACAAAAACAGTTGTCGTTAATTATTCTCACAGGCTGAAGGGTTTACTCACATCACTATGAGGTAGTTCAGTGTGAGTCTTGCCAGTATCAACACTAGTGCTGCAGACAGCCACCAGTCGTAGGAGATGCAGAAAAAGAAAATAGTTAGCACGACGCAAGTCAGCAGAGGATGAGACCAGTCAAGTAAAGCTTGTAAGTTGTACCAGGAATTCAGAGCTGACTGCAGAACCGAGGCGAACCCGTCGATGTTTTTCTTCATCCTGTTTTAACACGTGCGCAGGATTAGTAGTTTTAGAGGTTGGCTTCTAAAATCACGAAATTTATTTCTTGAATATAGCGTATTACATGAATTATTGTATCTCTCCTTCAGATCCTAAAGATATTTCTTCATAATGGAAATCACTAATTACAAAGACTATTCAATTTTCACTCAAAGTGAATTATTATTAGAAAAATAGCACTACACCTTTCTATCAACATATGAAACGTTAGGTAACGTGGCTTTAATAGCTATAGAACTACGGCAGAATACCATCACTTCAGTTTCCACCTTTTGACGCTGAATGCATCATCGCCAGCCACGTCCTCATCATCTCCATCATCATCGAGTTCACCTGTCGCCTCCCCCTTCATGACTTCCCTCACGAAGCTCCATAGAAATCCTCCGGTTGAGTGCAGCCAAGATGGCGAAGACGAAATATCCTCCTTGTCGAGATCGAGATCAACTGGAGGTGTGGAAGGTGCTGGAGGAATCTGCAAGCTTCCTTCTGAAGGTACAAAAAGTTTAAATGTCGACACATTTCAAAGTAACCTTCATACATTTTAAAAATAAATAACCTTCATAGTTCATAGATTTTCAACATAACCTTAAGATTAGGATGACAGGAGTTTCGATTTAGAACATTGAGAGATAATCGCGCGTACGCGGGATTATCTTATTGGCTACGTTGCAACTTAATTATTAATGTACTGTGTGAGCTCGATGTCTACGTGCTCCAAGGTCAGAATTCAATTTTCATATGTTAAGACTTTGGCTGGCAGGTATATCATGATATTGAAAAAAAAATCATTTATTACTCTCACTGGAATTACCGATTTCAAAGCTTCGAAATTAATGTGTTTAAATGTAACATAATTAACTAGTAATGAACTAGATTTCCCCCAAATTAAAAAAAATATAACTCAGTACTCACTGCAGTGAGTGACAGAGAGCGCATCTTCTCGTCGACGAAAACATGAAGTCACGGACGGACAGACAGACAGACGGACAGACAGACGAACAGACGGACGTACATGGCGAGCACAATAGCGCCTTTTATTTCCATAAATGAGAAAATTCGCTAAAAATTCCAACATAAAAGTCTATTGTTATATAATTGACCAAAATTTTACTTCATGTTCACTGATATGATACACATTACCTTGCATGGTGGAATTGGTTGTTAGAGTATCCAATACGTTCTCGGTGGCATTAGTAGAGCTGGACGGGGTCGACAAGGGTGAGGAAACGTGAACCACCTTTTCAGCTTCTGCCGCATCCAGCTGGTTCAAAAATGTCTCAGCGGAGGGTGAATTTCCATCGCTGCTTCTAAGGGATGTACTCGGCGAAGACTTGTCAGCAACCGACGTCGGGGCGTCTATAGTAGTAATGTAGTCTTTATTCAAACGCAGTGTATCTTGCTGCATCAGTTTCGCCGTACTAGCAATTAACTGGTCTACTCCTCGAGCGACTTGGTATCCATTTCCTGAAGAACGCTCAGCAACTTTCGTATCTGCAGATGGTAAAGTCCCGTAGTCTGGGGAAATGGTCCAATCATAGGTAACAACGTAGGGATCTCTAGCCGGTATAGGGCGAGGAAAGCTTTTACTAATTTCCAAATCTTTAACCTTGTGACTTTTTTCTTTTTTCTCGATAAAATTTAGATTTGCTTTTTGCTGTCTTTCCAAAGTTATTATCGTCTTTGGTTCAAGGTAGTCAGTACCTCGACCGTAATCAGGAACACTAATTCCCCGTTTTTTAAAAGACGATCGCACTTTTTTCTTGACACTTGAAGATAGTTCCGGATTCACAGGACAGGCGGGCAACTGAACTACGTTCGTGTTTGCGAAAGCTTCAGTAATTACAACAGTTGTACCATCTGTTTCAACATTCCTCTGATCCGAGTCAACTATTTCTTTGTGTTGTTTGATGCTTGTTTGTTTACCCGTCTGAAAAATGACTTCAGCAGGAAAATATTTTGTTGCTTTGTTCTTTGGAATCGAGTCTTTGCCTGTTGAAGAGTTGCTTGACTTCCTCGAGGATGAAAGAGCACTGGGCGACTGTTTCTCTTCCATTTCGCTTCCTGGTGGCAACCACGAAAATGTCTTTGGTGTGGTAGATGGAGACGGTGAACCCGACTTCTCGCCGTGCAGAGTTTCCAGAAGATCCACATTTATTTTACGGGTTTTGAGCTTATTGGGAGATTGCCAGTGGGTTTGCGATGTGAGATCTGGAGTATATCGTGGGATAAAAGTCATTAGGTTTTATTTCAGCTCAAATTTATAAGTGGGTTAGAGAGAGTTGTAGCTGCTCGAGGAAAATTCTGAAAAAATAAAGATTCAGCAGCAAATAAAATGATCTAACCTAATTTAACACTGAGTCCGATCAATAACAGTAATATAAACAAAAGGTAAATCGGTAAAAATTTCAAAATTTAAAGCAAGAAGTAATCTAACGAGCGGAGTTCGTAGTAAATCGGAATTTATTTCCACCAAATAATAGTAAAAAAACAAATGTGGCTTCAGCACCCACATTACCAGGAGGTTGGTGGAGATCTTGAGCCTGTTCTTCTCCAGTCCAGACTCCGCCGTCATCGAGATGACCATAAAGTAAAGGATCGAAATCAATGGAGTTTTTAGGCCACAACGTCGGCTGAACCTTGGCAGATCCAGACCAAAAACCACCACGTCTGCGTGTCCGTTGTCGGTTGGCAGGGTTTTCTTTGGATTTCCCTAGGAGGAGCTGGCTGATGTTGTCTTCGCGTTTGCAATACAAATTAGCACGACAATCACTCTTCAATTTTAGAGTGTGATGCATGACAAAATCATACTTCGGATTACTCTGCAGATGAGAACTTGGAACCTCTGGATCTTCACTCTTTTTCTTCTCCAGCTGGCTGTTGATGGGATCGACCTTCGTCTCGATTTCAGATTGATCAAAACTCTTGCTCTTCTCAGGACATTTCCTACGCCAACTGAGGAAGCGACTGCGGGAAGAGCTTCTGTACAAAAAACACAACATTTTTATTATTCAGTAGTAAACAAGATAAATGAGCTTAAAATTTTCATATCAGAGCTTCCAAGGAATTATTATACGCGATTAGGCTATAGTAAACAAGACATATCTGATTAATTATAAAATATAAGATGGAGGGTTTGATTCACTCGATATAATAGTACATTTTTATTTTTACAGGTCCTTCAGCCTCGTACGGTCGATGCACTCCCATAATTTGGCTACATATTATTTTATGCATTATAATTATGATCAACGGTTTTTGATCACTCATGCTGTTTAATTAGAATTTTTAGCAAACCCATTGCTCCTGATCCAGAATCTTGAATTATTTTTACAGCTCCAGCACGAGCTGACCTATTGATTTATCAACGGTATTGTTGCAATTTACGAGCTGGCCATGACTGTTGAAACTCTGCGAAACGCTCGGAGTGTTGCAGAATTCAGTTCGTGGTTTAGGTAAGAGCCAAACATTTGCTTGAGGAGAGGCAAAAATAACCGCAGTGTTTGCGTTAGCACGACCGTGCGGTCTTCAGTAAGATTTGTGCAGATATTCTGCGTGCTCTGATTGGAAACAAGAACCAAGGCTAGGCTCGCTTCTCATCATGAGCTTTGTCTTATAACAAACTCTATGCTACCACATCCGGGTGAAATTTGTTCACGTGCAGCGAAATGAAATATTACTTCCGCGATGCCTATTGCAGTTTCCATAGTTTTAAAAAGTTGTTTGGTAACAAATTTCAATAGGTAAATTGAATAAGCTCATGTGTTTCAAGAATTAATGCCAGTCAGTCGAATAATGTGATAATTCTCCTCTGAATGTTAATTAAATCTTACAAAGAACGCCGAATAAGGTGCGGGACAACCCTACGACAAAAAGAAGTTTGAGCTCAGTGTTGGCTTAAAACTTTGTTCAATTTGGAACTAGTCCGTCTCAGGGTTGTTATAACTACGAACAAACTTTTTTACTCTAAAGTAATAGGGCAAATTTTAAACAAAGAGCGTTGTAATGACCGATTACTGAGTCTCTATATTATCGAATCGTGCTCTACTATATAAGTTCTTCTTACATGCTTCCTTTACTTTGTTTATAGATTAAAATTTCAACTGTTGAATGAAAATTTGAATTACATGTATTATTGTTTACACGACAATATGGCGTTTTTGACCACAACATAGCACTTTTTTTATCTAAATTTGTTCAGTTTAAACAAAAGGCCTCGAAAAAAAATTGCATAAGACCGAGATTTACACGTATATTTACAATAACGGTAATATTTGCATACTTAATTGATGCTCGTACAGTATTACTTGATAATAGTTTTGAATTATTTGCTTTTTGAGAAGCGGAGTTTTTTTTGTATTTTTCAGTAATGCACCAACTATGGATGTTGATTTATTATTAATTTCCTACGTCATAATTGTTCATATGGAATTATATTTTTTACTAACCTGTGAGATTTTTCGTCTTGAGGTAAACTTTTATCCCTCACATTCTTCGGGGTTTTGTTCTTCTTCCTTGCCCTCTCGCGACCCTCACTGGCTTGGCTGGATTCTTCGCCAGTTCTTCCCATTCTCAAATTTACTGGGACAATTTTTTTCAAAAAAAACTTTGTGAATCTCGTCTTTGCGGAATCTTTTTGTTCGTTTTGTTTTTCCAGATTAATTACGAGTTCTTAGGAGTTTTCTTTGAAAATTCAATGATGTTCGTTTCTCGAAGAGATTACTTGCTTCTAATCCTTCTGAGCCATTTTCCTTCTCTTCCTTTCAAAAAATATTCGTTATTTGTAAGCGATTATGAGCTACTTTCCTTTAACACTAATTGCTTGTTTCTTTTCTATTCATTTCAAATTCGCTAGTGTTGTCTCTCGTGAATGACTGCGTCAACATTAACAACACGAACACGCAAAAGTTTTATTTCAGCGTTTCAATAATCTGTGATCGAAAAAAATATTCAAAGGTTCAATAAAGATTTTGAATAGATTAATAATTTATAGATTCAAACTTGAGACTGAAATTTTAAATACCGATACGCATTTTTAAGCTAAACACAATTTAACAGTAATACATTTTGTCTCTCAAAAAACTGTCTAAGTTTGAAAACTAAAAAATATTGGTAACTCAGTACTCACTGCAGTGAGTGACAGAGAGCGCATTTTCTCGTCGACGAAAACGTGAAGTCACAGACGGACAGACAGACAGACGGACGGACAGACGGACATGGCGAGCACAATAGCGCATTTTTTCCATAATTGAAAAAATGTGCTAAAAAGATTATTAAACTTCAAAAAGTGGCGGAATAATCTCGACGATGCTTACTCCAGAAGCTCCAAGAGGGTACTGAGGGAGTCCATGTAAACAACGCAAGCGGTTCCTAGAGCACCCTCGCACCTTACCGTCGTAATGGCCCGCGCGCTGTAAACAAACTAGCTTGAACACAAGATACCGACTCAATCTTCGTGTGCTGAGATTCAAATTAAATATTTCTAGACTTACTACTGGTACATAGTTCGTGTAACCTGATCATATTTAAATACCTATATTTTTATGGATTATACTTACTGTGTTCAACAAAACTGTGTATTAATGATACAGCGCATAATTAAATAAATTTCCCCAAGTAATTTTATACGCTGGTATAAAACAGTAGTTTAACAGTTTTATACAGGTAGTTTTTTTTTACACGAGTGTAGCTCCTACTTTATGCTTGTAATGAATTCGTTTCCTTCAAGGCTGTTTCATCATCAACATAACCTCGGTCACTGCGACAAAACTAATGTGGAGAGATGAAATTGTGAAAAAGTTACTTCCGCTTTTGAAATAAAAAATAAAAATTAACTGGAATTTTAAACCAGTCATCAATCAGTATGTGTTAATTTCTCCGATCTAATGCTTGTATTATCCTTAAATTACAGGCAGTAATCCATTATCATTATTAATTATAAATGGTTCAGTCGTTAAAAGTTAGTTCTTATAACAAATTTAACAAATGTTATAGTACAGGCTGCAGTAAACAATGTTTGTCGGGATCTCATATAAACGTACAATGCAAATTAATGTTAATTAATTAATTAATGCAAATTAATTAATTAATTAATACTTTTCATACTTAATTAACAACAGTTGAATTAGTCGACTGGGAGAGCCAACAATTCACACTTTGTAAAACCCTAATCACCGAATAATTTTCATGTGTTTTAATAGATGTGATTGATCAAGAGGGTAAATCATGAATTTCATTCGTGAAATGTTTATTTTTTATTACTTCTCTAATTGAATATCAAAAAATATAGTTAACTGATAGAACCAATATCAAAGCGAAAAATAGAGATAAATATAGAAATTTTTGAGCAGACAGGCAACCGGATTGTGAGACACGCTCGTAAGCGTTTCAAATGCTTTCTTTCGCCTTAATAAGACCTCATAAGCGTAACTAACAATATTTACATTTAATTACCGAATAATAGATCCAACATTTTTTTAACTATTGAAATTGAATGAATTCGCCTAAAACTCAGGCAGAAAGGTATGTCATCAGATATTAAATTGAACTAGCGTATTAATTCGCCTAATGGCTTATTAACTGTTGTATTTGCATTATCAACAGACAGAGAAATATCAACACCGAGAGTTGAAAGGCAAATTTATCTCCTCACTGCTAATTAAGCTTCAAAACACAAACGTTCTTACAATTTTTGGAAATGCTAGGATTTTTTCAAGAAAGTATGAGTGTCAATAAAGTGGAGGGAACTTTTTGGGCTCGTCGTTGAATTACTGTCATCATTTTACGCCTTCAAGAACAGACTAGACGAAGCTATGCAGGAGCATATGTTCAGTCTTAAAATGCCTAGCAAATTACGGCCTGGCAGGCAATAAGCCCAGCAGCTATCTCAATCGATCGTCAGTTATGGAAAGATCGGGTTTCAAAGGCTGGATCCCTTATGAATCAAGTCACGAAAAATTCAAGAATCGGCAACAGGCCATGGACCTATTTCTTCAGTGCCGACACTCCTATTCTATTCTATTTATTGAATTACTGTCATCATTTTTCGCCTTCAAGAACAGACTAGACGAAGCTATGCAGGAGCATATGTTCAGTCTTAAAATGCCTAGCAAATTACGGCCTGGCAGGCAATAAGTCCAGCAGCTATCTCAATCAATCGTCAGTTATGGAAAGATCGGGTTTCAAAGGCTGGATCCCTTATGAATCAAGTCACGAAAAATTCAAGAATCGGCAACAGGCCATGGGCCTATTTCTTCAGTGCCGACACTCCTATTCTATTTATTGGCAACGTCAAATATAGGGATTGAAATATTGTAAATTTAATTAGTCTACTATTATCAGTTTTCTATGAGCCACTCAAAACGAAAACTTTCTTTGGCAAAATATTGAGTCCCAGACTAATGTAACGCAAAATTTAGGTGTTTTGGAGTATAAGAAGTCGCACAAAAGGAAGCGATCGTTTATAGTGTATCAGTAACAATTAGCAACCTTCTTAGCAAAGTATCGGATTTATACTATTTAGTTCTTGTAAATTGGTAAAAAAATAAAAAAAACTATATGCAATTTGCTAATATTTTTTTTCTCGTTTGTAACGCGTTTCGTCGAGTTAGTTGTCGTGACTCGTGAGTCATCTCAGTGTTGTCTCGGTTCAATTGAGAGCTCGTCGTCAAAACCGAATCAAGTACAGTGTTTTTTTTTTTTCATTGACTTCATTGTCAGGGCGTGCTTCCCTTTTTTTCACGACTTGGTATTACGAAGGAACGTTTATTGTTCACAATCACTGGTGCTGTTTGGAAACTCGTTCTTATCCTAAACAAGACTCGTTTGGTACGGAACTACGATTGGCGGTCGCTTGACAGCGATTGCCGACAGTTGAAGTTGGCTCATCAAGTTGTGTGGTGCAGTGTGGTGCAGTAGTTGGAGCTCATGGTCTTGTCGGTGAGTATTTTCATCATATAAGCTTCTCAATGTTCGCTTGAATGTTTAGGAATACCGTGACTAACTGCGAAGAATTTTTTTTAATACAATATTTAGTATGTAGATTTAAATCATAAAGATAGACTGAGAACCGTGATTCATTACGTTGGCCTAGGTACCTACTCATTGTTACGTCATTCCCAAAATGGCTTATCAAGAGCACTACAGTCACTGTGTGACAGTGTCTGGCAGACAGCGTCTCTAATCTTATATTATAATTTCATATACTGACAAATTGACATAGGTGTATTGTCAATTTGTAAAATTTATGTACCTACCTGCTTTTCTTTGCCATGATAATTCAACGGACATATTTTGATACGTTTCATCTTCGAAGCAAGAATATATTATAATTAGTTAGAATAAAAAAAATCTGCTATGATAATTCAACGGACATATTTTGATTCTTGTCATCTTCCTAGCAAGAATATATTATAGTAATTAGTTAGAATAAAAAATCGCCGTAGCACAAACTCTTTGAACTGATGAATTAATTGCAATTTTCGTTACAGGCAGTTTTGGAACCATGGTTAACTATCAAGAAGTGAGGGATCTCTCGTGCCCTCAGTATGAGTCCTTCACGACCGTCAGCCGTTGCATTCATTTCGCTGACTTCCACAACTGTTGGGAGCGAAAAGCGTTAGTTACGAGGCCTCTGTCCAGCACCATTATCAGTTGTCGTGGACTCCAGGTCTGTAATTATATTATGTATTTAAGTTTTTTCCCTAATTTATATTCCTAATCTCAATAAGGATCCTATGACCGTGCTGACTAAAGAACACTACGTACATGCACAGCACATATTCGTCATCAGGTTATTTTTGCTTGAAGAAATGTTAAACAGTCAAACTGTGTTTGCTCGGATGGAGTGACTACATATTTATTAGTACTAACATATCGAACTCTCTAAACTAAATGTTCAGCAAGTTGACGTTCCTAGCTTCTTTCTTTATTTTGTTCCACAGGTTTTGTGGATGGCTCCCTCCAAGAAAACTACCGAACACAATTTCTACGGCAACATGACGTTCACAATAGATTTCAACGAGCTTCTAGAATACGTCAGGCCTGCTAACATGTATTATGTAGACCAAATCAAGTTCAGCCAGCATATGGTCACGAGAATTTTACTCACGCGACATTCGTATTCTCATCTGAAGTCTGTGAACACTTCGGCAGAGGGCTCGCCTCTGAAGGCCATGAATGCCCGTTATGGAACACCGCGTGATTGGCAACACGCTACTTCGTGTCACGTAGATGGCAGAATGAAGCCTCATGAACTCGAGATTGCCTTCAACCCCTCAGGAAACGACAGCTCGTGGCTCTTCCGCAAATGCCGAATTTCAGCAAACAATCACTCCAAGGCAAACACTGCTTCGTACATAGGTACTTACGCTGACCATGTATGTCACAGGTTCAACACTTTTCGGTGTCAGTGTCCGCATTCTCTGGATGATGAAACGAGCGTTCGAATTGTTCGTTCGTGGGTAAAATCCCTCGAAAAAGATCACGAAAATCTAAGCATTTTGTCTTCTACGGATCGAGATGTCTTTGCCCAAGAGTACAAGAAGGTGGCTGGCTACGTATACGACAATCGTGGAGGAGGCGCTCTTACGCGTAACATGAGTTTTTGGAGTCTGTAATTCTGAACAAATTTTAGAAGGGTGGGAAAGTTGCACTCCATGAACGATATTAGTAAGAGTGTTCACGCTAGATAGAGTTTTTTTGTGTTTGTGAGAAAACTTTTCGTTCTGAATTCTCAAAGATTTTCGATACTTTTTTTTTTCGACTACCATTTTCCTTGGTTACTTCTTCACATTATTCCTGGAGTAGCGTGCCAAATTGGCTGTGAATTTTTAATTTAATTGCAACTCTAATCATGAAACTGGGAATAATATTTTACAATCATTAAATATCAGTTAGGCTATATTCTAAGCATTATTGTAATACTAGTATATGCCTTTTAAGTGATAATAATGATTAATCTGCATTTATACTTTTCGGTAATGATTCTTTCTGAATTGCTTTGGCGTTTTGGTTTTATTCCCTTTTTGTGATGTTAAATAGGTGTTTCGGAAAATTAATATTCTTGTCGGTAGAGGCAGATTTTTTCAGTGTAAGAATATACAATATTTGCGGAAGTAAAACTTCTGTTAAGATAGTAAAGATACCAACATCGTTAAGATATAATAGTTTGCAAATTCCTAGTTATGCTTCCTATCCTAACTTAATGTATTTGAAGGTAAAGATTTGTGTTTGAAATTTCTTCATATTCTACTGATTCATTATTACATGTCCTAAACGTACTAATATCTTTAGTTCAGTACTGGGAAAGTAAAAATTCGAAATTGACCAACATTTATGCCTCGCGATCAAACGATTAAAGTTTCTCGATAAATATCGATTATTATTTCAAATTTCTCGAATATTTTAGATTATTTTACTCGAGATTTATTTGAAAGGAGTAGAGTTTGTAAATGATTGATAGGGTAATTGAAATGACGCATAGAATACTTGGCCAACAGATGATTCAATATGCTTTAGTAGCAACGTAGAGTATCTACTTGTATTGTATTTTAGATTGTTTATGGGCCGGCTATTACTTATTATTATCTGGAGTGAAATATGCAGAAACCTAAGGACGCGCCTTTGCTCGAGTCATAACGCAAGAATAACAAGTAGCCTTAACTGGTTTTGATCATATAGTAATTGGTGCTTATTATTTTTTCATTTTATGGATACTTTAACGCCTTCCTCAAAAGACGCTACGCCTAGAACGGTTCAGCACAAGTTACAGCTCCTGACGTAATGAGCTCTAGGCTTAAAAAAGGAGGTTCGATAATTTTATACTAAGTTTCTTCGTTTAATAGTGAAGGAACTGAACAGTTGCAATGATTGATAATATCTGAAAAACACGAAAAATTAATACATAGTACAACTTTGGCAAGGTTATGACAATTATCACAGAATCTCAAAAAATACACAAAAAGCTTATGAACTAGGAACACTGAACAGGTATAGCGACCCTGATCGCGGACAGTAAAAGTGGCCGGTGGAGATACGTGTCCGTAAATTGTTTACTCTATTAAGTGTTGCCATATGAACATTTCGCACTACATAATCCCTTAATTGATGACCTGCGGCTACAGATACATTCAATTATGCATTCAGATAGAAAATCAAAGCTTGAATTTCGAGAACAGGAGACAATACACTGAAATTTGAGCAGCTAATCTACTCAGTCGCAGCATGGAATCCAGAGCGTATCACAAATACAACAATTTGCTGTCCTTGAAACAAGTACCCAGCGAAGCGGCCGCCTTGAAGCTGACACTCGACGCCGAACAGACAAGCGCCTGCGACCCGCCGGCGCTGCACAGCGGGTAAGACACTGCGTCCAGGCGGTTCTCAGTCAGCGGCCGATCCATCATGTCTGACCGGGACAAAAGTATTCCAGAGATATAATTTCGAAAAATGACCGCTTTTAGCGGATTAATTTCCGCGAGCAAAAATATTTAATCAAGATAACTTCTGCGAGACATATAATTTAAATTGTTATTTGCAGCAATTTTCAGAAATCGTGGCGACTTATCAACACCCAGCTGCCCTGTGAAACCCTGCCCCCCGACATGCCTGTCGACGAGAAGTGTCCTGCCTACAGGGAACTACGATATCTGTCAGCAATGATGCAGCATCTCTAGCCCAAGGGTGCGTTGACTCCTGCCTACCAACACCAAGCACCACACGATTTTTGCCTCTGTATGAAACAGTAGTTTCAACTACCGGTGAATCCGGCGATCAGCTAACAAACCAGAGAGCACTAGTAGCAGTAGCTGCATCTCGGTGAGAATCCGAGTGCAGACAGACTACAGCGGTATGAGCATGCCAGCCGGAGGAGTATCGGCCCCTAATTTCTTCTATTGGATAACGGACATGAGACGAGTGATGATAGTGATCTCACCGACGCTATGGCGACAACAAACCCAGCTATAAGCATTCAGGTTGAAGTGACAGAGCCAGAAAACAAGAATAGAAAGGAGTAGTGATGCAGCTGGTGTGGTGGTACATGAAATAGAATCGTGTAAGCGGTTTCAGGCAGACTGAGCGAGTGACCCCAACCTAAAGAATCAGATTAGCCAGTTGGTAGGCAAAATGGTTCGTTCAGTCGAAGCTGATTAATTCCAACATTTCATCATATGCCGCAAACTGCGGTCACACTTTCCATGCCGGATACATGTGGTGTTCATCATTTGCTACTTCAGTAATTTGATAGCGTTTCTGCCGACCGAAACTGTGAAAGAGAACTACAACGTGCTACCGAAGCTACACTTCTCCGGACCCGCCTGCGGACTCAAAAGCGCATGGCAATATTGATGAATATCTTGAAAACTTATCTGAAAGACATCTACAAAAACGTGCAATTGAATGCTTCGAAAATACTAACCAAAATGACATAGATCCTCAGAAGAAAAATTATTTCATTTTTCATGATATTGCTACGGAAAGAATCAGGATTCTGTTGATATTTTTTCACCCGTGGAAGACAATAACAAGACATAACAACTGTAGTTAAATTTACTTATCCCAAAACTATCACATATTACCAAGACAAGCCATTGGAACGAATTCAAATGTATTACTTCTATTCGAATTTATTTTCATTGGTATGAATAATATTCGCAGTGATTACATTGCTTGGGATTTGCCCTTTGCAGAGTTAAAAAAAACTGATGGAAAGTATAAAGTACCATATAGTCTTTTGTTGATCAATGATGATGAGCACCCAGGTTCTGGGAAGTATTTCAAATATTTAAATCGATTATAGATTCTAAAAAATTATCTTCCATCGTGACACTCGCTCAAGAGTCTAGGTCAAGTCCTGGATTATTATTGACGTATATAGTTTACTAACAATACTGACGGCGATGATTTAGTGCAAGGTCAACCTTAGTTAAATGATCACTTTTTCGGGAGAAAATAGTCGTTAACCTATAAAGTCGTTTATGCGAACGTCGATGATAAGCCCTCTTCTATGCTACTATCGTCAGTTATTACTTATATTCCAAAATTTCAAGCAGATCCGCTCATAATTGTGCGACTTAAGACTTATTTAGTTTTATTCGTTTTATTTAGAAACGCAGTGACTTAGAAATCTCCAAAAATTACCGTCTTGGCGCATTGCTGATAATTAGTTACTTCAAATTTCGAGCAGATACGTTCACAGATCTGAATGCCGTATAATTTAATTAATTTTTTATGTTAAGTCCGCTGGCGAGTTAGCGGACTCAAGGTCTGTCAGAGAAGTGTCAATTCCAGAGTCCTCATGTCAGAGTAGTGTCGATTCCGTCGAGACATCGACGAATGGGTTATTTTCTCCAATAGATACTGTATTACGTCAAGCGAGTCAAACATGCAAGACTGCGAATGCTATGGCATGGACCACCGCGTACGTTTGCATCGCTCTAACCTAATTTTGGTGGCAGGAACTACGATCACTGCAGCGAGCAGCACTAGCTCCTCCATTGCCGCGAGCGCACAAGACTGAAGAAAGTTTGAACATGTGGACGCTCGTCAGTCTTCCGTCTTGTCGGTTAAACTTTGGTATGACGTGCAAGGCTGACGATAAGTTTGAGCACCTGCTTATCGTTGGTACCGGCTCCAAACCGGAAAAGCACGCGAAACTGACAAAGTTTTTTTTTTTCACGCATATCTCAATAACGGCAGTACGGTGTACATAAACCAGTACACGTTGTACAGTTTTGCATTGTGTGTATGATACTTAACGATCTGAGCTCAAAAAATTTCTGTCAGCATTCGTTGCAGGGCAATGTTTATGAAAAGAGCTGCTGATGATTACATAGTCATAGATAGGTATATATGGTATAGATAGGTAAAACGACAGGCTTATGAAAGTAATTTTTTAAAAGGATGACACCGAATAAAGAATTCGGACAAACGCTCATTGCCGAGCAATGGCCATAGAAGCTTTGGTGTTAATTTCATCAAAATCTGGTTCCGTTTCAGCATATTAGATCTGGGATAGCTGTTATATGAGTGTGTGTACTATTCGAACGAGTGAGTCTACAGCTGAAATTTGCGTTTGTTTTAGGTGGTATTTGTGCTCTTTTAAGATTCTGAATTTTACTGAAGACTATTATTGTATTTGAGGCATCTTAAAACTGACAAGGGTGAATGAAAACTCTGAATTTACGATACAACTCAGGAAAAAGTCCTATTTAGGAATCAAACTCCACATAGTAAGTAGTATTACTACGCGGCCGCGGCCCCAGACATCCCCGCTCCCTGATTTGCTGGCGCGCCAAGAACGAAGAACCTGCAAGGGTGCAGCGGCCGAGCGGCGCATGGCCGCATGCGGCATTCTTGCGCTAACTGCAAAAGCATCAAGACGTGGTCGGATATCTCTTCTGGCGTTGTATACTTCTTGTACCTTGTAAAAAGTTGGTAACTATACTAATATATGTATCTTTGCAAACATTTTCATTTGTTTCATTCTAGCTGATACTTACTGTTCGTATAGTTTCCAACTAAATGAATTACTTGAACAGTTGAAGGGTACATTCATATATTAATGAAGTAAAGTATATTCGTACTGGAATCTTAAGCACGCGGTAGATTTATATTTTACATTAATGCAATGCTATCATCGTATTCTAATCCTAAAGGCCGGTCCACACGCTCAGTTTTCACAACGATTTGTCTGCGCAGTTTTAAGTCGGAATGAAATCGTTGCAATTTTTAGAGCGTCCACACGGTGCAGACTTATCTGAGTAGTTTGCTCAGTTTTGCGCGATCTCGCCATGGAGACGCTGTCTCTTATACACATCTAGNATTCCTAAAGGATTAATGCTGATATCAGCCAGTTCTCGTTCGACTCGGAAATAAAGAAGGCTACCTCGTAATGTAGTTGAGTTGTGTTAGGTAGTTTTCTTTAAATTTTGTCGCTGCTGTGAGCTCGTTAGTTTACTTGCGTTGTATTATTATAAAATTTCGGTTTGTGTTTGAGTCAACTTGGAGTAAATCTCATGTGAAACGGTTACTCAATGAAGTTTTCAGCTACTTTTCCAGCATTTACAACTACTTTTGTTATGCGCATTTGCGAACCTCGAATTGATGGGTGCATTGTTGATGAAATTAACGAGGTATTATTTTATGCCTGAGGTCTGAAGATATTTTTTTGCAGTTTAGAGTACCGACTGCAGTGTTGAATTATACATGTAAAACTTAGCTGTCCAAATGCCATATCATCTTGCTATTTTTTGCAGTTTAGAGTACCGACTGCAGTCTTGTAACCGACTGCAGAACATGTAAAACTTAGCTGTCCAAATGCCATATCATCTTGCTATTTTCACAACCGAATAAAATTTTCCTTATTCTTCCAGATCTTGTGCAGTGAAATCTGAATCGGATAATTTTGTGGAAACGAGTGTCGAATATAATATGTTACGAGGGTTCCTTTTGGTACCCAAACTTTTCATTTTTTTGGGGCTATTGACGCCTGATACTAGTATTAAATAAGGGTTTTGATGTTTAATGTGTTATTTGAAACTGGGGATCGGATGCTGCCAGAAATGTTGGTGCTTGAAGCCTTTGAAAATTAGCTTGAAAAGTTGAGTAGGTAGATAATTGTTTCGGAGTGTGAGTGAGGAAGGATATTTCCCTAATTGATTGAGTGGCTTTTCATGCCACTTAGCGCCAAACAAGCATATTTTGGCTGCGAAAAATTTATTCATTTTTTAACTCAACCATTTAAGACACTGTTGGAATCATGTTTAAATATTATTATTATGAAGAATTGCGTTGTACTGGAGACGATAAAAAAATCTCATGATTCATTTCATAACACTAAAAACGTGTTGTTAAAGACCACATCGATACTTATGGGACGAATGAATATATTAGTCGGCATTATGCTCATGCAAGCATCAACAAAATTTTATTTTTTAGTTTTAGCCCCCCTTTGCACGCTCAACTAACAGCGTGTAGCGCGCTAGAAAACGAAGCTGACATACTGTAAATAATTCTATCAACCCTCGCAGTTGTGTATTGTGAATAAATAGCTTCGTTGTTAATTAGGTCAAATAGATTTCGATCTGAAAAATTTGTGCGTGAAAAACTTAAAACTTAAAATTTAGCGGACGATCGGATTATGGAAATTATGATCGGAGCGGACGAAAACAAAATTGTGAGCTAAATGCATTGAGCTAAATGCATTGATGCAAAATGAGCTAAATGCATTGATGTAATGCTGCATGAACATAATGGTAATAAAAATCTACACCTTCAATTTGGTTCTGATCGGTTCCGATTTAACAAACTTATGCGCAGAAAACCTGCTCTGGAAATTTGTCCCAAAAGTGTTGTAGTTAGAGGACCCGCTGAAATCGAAACTGAACGTAAAAATTCCGATGATGTTTCCCTCCGTTGAAACGAAAAAAAAAAAAGAATTTAATATAGTTAACTAAAACTGTCAATTTACAAATATATATCCCGATGCAACAACAATAATAGTTTCCATAAATATAGATGTCCATGAAAGATTTGATCTGGTTGCCATGCAACTGGATTAATTATTCATCATCGTCCGTTTTCTAGTTAGGGACGCGTTCCTGTTCGGAACGCGTCTGAACGATGTTTGATCAGACGTGCCAGCTACGCAATTGACCCACAAGCCGGAGAACTACATATTTAAATATCACTAAATAAAAAGTCGAAGCGTCGAAGCAATCAATGGTTGAGGAAAAAATATTTGATTAAATCGAAAGGAATAAATCTACTTATAATCTTATGGCGTTCGTTCAATGTTCAGTATAGTACAGTCAGTTACTGTCAGTAGCGTTCAAGGTTGCTTGCTGGAAGGGACGAAGGGTTGACAAGTAAACTGCGTATGCTTCCTCAAACCAACGGCCTTGTACCTTAGAAAAGTAAGTTTTACCCAGCTAATCTAATTCATAGAAATATTCACATACTCTAAACTAAGTCTAAAGAGTGCTATGAAGTCAATGTGAATGTGTATTTCTGGCAGATTACATGTGGCACGCGGACGTCGGATAAAACTTGGAGTAAATCGCAAATATCTACCTCGTCTGATAATGATATTGACTATCTCGATGCAGGGATTTAATTTTATTTTTTCCCCTTTTTGAATGCCCTCCGTGCGCAATGATGCTTCTATCTTATTGCTTATCGTGGTTAAATTGAATAGAATTTGTAGTAAGATACATTACTTGCCAAACTTCAGCATGACCTTGGAATGGACGGCTGCGGGCTGCTTCAATTTTTTTGTGCACCTGAATTCTTAATAGTTTTTGGGATATTGTTTTGGTTTTCTAATGCGCTAGTCCTGCATCACTCCTTTTGCAGGAAACTTTGAGCATGCCTTACTACGAGGATATCAACACCATTACCCACTGCCTACACTGGGACCTGTTCGAAAACACACGAAATTTAGGGAAGTTTTTGCCCTCGATGACTCTCAGGAAACGTCATGGAATTCATTCTCAGGTATGGTATTTTTATTTTAAAAGGGGAAAAGTTCTATATTGGAAATGAATCAAATCCATTTACAAGCATTTGCATGTTGTTTATGTTAAGATGGGACAAATGAATATTTTTGCTCGGTGAATAATACTTATCTAAACGCGTGAAGATGACACAACTGACAACTGTACTTGGCTGTATTTTTTCTAGATACTATGGTTTTCGCCAACGAAGAGCATGGATGTTCAAAATCGTTACGGCAACGTGAGTTTCACTATTCCAATGTACGATATTGTGTCTCGCTTTGGTGAGAACTTCTATGAAGTGGACGAGATGAGTTTCAGCGATCGGAGATGCGTTCGCGTTTTACTCGCCAAGACAGCTCCTCTCACTCGCAGCAGAATCGACACGTCCAGTAGTGACGCGAGTATTTACAAAATGAGGTACAACAATTAAATGCATTTCTGACGGTATATTATTTTGATGGTATATTCATTTTTATGCAACTGTCATTCATCTATTTAGCAAAACAACTTTTAAGGTTGAAAACAAGTGGTATGACTCTAGATGACTTAGAAGTAGAAAGTTTGTACGGTTGTGACAGTGATGTTCAATGATGGTGGCCATCTGCGTTAGAATGTTTTTATTGTCTTGAATGATTGATGCGACGTTAAGAATGAAAACGCGTAAACCGACACCTGAACGGGTAGAAAAGTTAGTATGACATTGACGACAATTTTTATTCCAGCTATTGGTCGTATGCCTTCAAGAAAGAGTCATGTGGCGTTCCTAACGAGCTGGAAATCGCTATTGAGGTTGACGATGCCGATTGCCGTTGGTTGTACACGAGATGCAAGATGGAACCAAACAACCACTCGCTGGCCAACACTCAAGGCTTTGGTCGTCACACAAACGTGTGCCAGAGGCACAATCACTTCTCAAGGAATTGCCCTTATGCATTGTCGCTCTGGGAAACGAAAATGAAGCTAGAGTCAAAGTAAAATGTCTCGCGGTACAAACTTGAAGAGCGTTTGTGGATTTGGTTAAGTTTACGGTTTTTCGGTAGCTTTTCTGGATTGGGAATTATTATTGAAGGATCCTCATTATTCTTAGTCAAAGGATCAATTAGGCGTGATTTCTTGTAGCGGCTGTCACTGTGTTTCTGCTACCATTAACTGAATATTGAAATAAAATCATTGAATAAATGAAGGCGCAGTGAAGAAATGCATTCCATGTAAAACTTTGACGATGTTTTTGTTGCTTCAACTAAGTACAACGGACAGATTGCATTTTATGAACAATTTGCTTAGAGATGACATTAGTAAACTCTCATTTGTAATCTACTTGTACTCGTTGATACTCTTTTAACTGTGCTGTGACAGTTACTTTGGGAAAGTCTTCACCGGTTTTCATGCAATCTTTGCTTTTGTATTTACGATTTAATTGAGCAGGAAATACAATCCATAACTATTTAACCAATCGATGCCGAAGGAAAAACTTTGTTACATTTGGTCAGGAATACATGCTCCTTGTTGTGGAAAATGATAGTTTAATATGAAATAGACGAAGACTGATAGTAAGAGGACGTTCGGATCAATTCCATTTTTCCCTCTACATTCGATGCCTGATCGGTGATGTATCCCTCTCTCCTCCCGTGAGTCGATTAAATTCAGGGCTCCATCTCTGCATATAATTTGGCTGATGAATTCACACATGAAACCATTCTCATTCAATGTAACTGCTTATGTTATCATTAGTTCTTTAAAGCACAGGATCATGTATTCGCCCTTCGTTGCTTGTTTTTAAAGAAATATTATTTGTACTACGGTAGAAATGGAGTTGCATTGATTTCGTGCACCGAGGAAATTACATGAGATTGTTTATTGATTATAGACTTATTGTAGTGCAATGAAAGCTTTGTTTATTTTCGAAATTCTATTCTCTCTTTTGTTCAGTAATCAACTTGTACGTAATCGTAAATATTCCTTTAACTGTACTGCGACAGATACTTTGGGAAAGTTTTCTCTGGGTTTCATGTAATCTTCGCTTTTATCGCCACGCTTCAATTAAGTAGGAATACAATCCATATCTAATTATCGAGTGGATTTTCGAGTTAGATTGAAAAAATGACCTAGCCCTCATCCAGAGCGCAATTAACTGTCGAACAACATCTTCATCTCCAATTAGAATGCTGCTTCTGCTATCTATTGGTTCACGTAAACAACGGAAATCATGCCTAATTTAATTTTTCTTGGTTGCGTTCGTTAAATTGGTCAACGATTAAAAATAGAATGGACCGTTATTTCTTAATTATTTCGTGTAACTATATTGCTAAATGCTGTACGTGAAAATGCGACGCGTACTTTTGCCTTATCGCTGTCGGCTTTCAAATTTTATTTCCATTCAAGTTCAATTTGCTTGCATATTTAGTTTCTTTTGCGTCTGCACTCATAAATAAACGCGGTCATTAGCAGAAATATACACCATACATTACATTTAAGGGTTAAGAAGCATTCATTCGAAAGTTTACTCTTCATGCAAATTTGAATGTTTTAAGAAAAAACTTGCCGAATTTTAAAGAAGGAGAACACTCGAAATAAACTGTTTCATAATTGAAATTAAATTTAATGATGTAGATCACTGTTCAATCATTTACGTAACGACCGATTTGAAAAACAGATCTCTTAGGAGTAAGAAACATCTTGTAAGCTTCGATAATTGTGACTGAATTGGGACTGAGTTTTCCGAGCGATGTTATATAACGCTTGGCGCCGCATCGCTTTAAGGCTTTAGTTTAGAGCCTTCGTGTTTGCCAGGCCGTCGTTATTTTCATTCGTGGTGCAGTAGAATAATCATATGTAATCGGCTTCAGTGACTACAACAGCAATCCTCTATGCGGTGAAATATTCTTTCCACCACATATAAGATCCGATGTTCTCCATTTCTTCGTAGACATAACTAATCATTTGTTGGTGAGTAACTTTGGCCAAATTTAGTTGATTAACTGATACATGAGGATGAAAAAATGGCCTCTTTGAGAATACCATGTTCATCCAGAAAGTTGACCGAAAATTCAGTGGAGATTACGCACTAGTTTTGAGACGCTACGAGTTCTAATATTTTTCTCTTCGAACGCATGATATTAAAGGGTTGAAATTATTTCAGTTCGTGATATGGTAGCTACCCGACTGTGGTAGATATACATGTATATTAATATTTATAGTAACTACAACGCTGCAGAGTTCCTTTCCATTTGTAAGTATTGAATTATTTAAGTGAAAAAATTACCTGGATAAGGCACAGAAGGATAATTCGCACTCCTCAAAATTTCATTTGCGGAAATAATGCTTCATCGAAGTCAGTGTTCTAAGTGTAGCATTTTAATATCTTTGTGAAGAACAAATATTTGAAATGGAAAATAAGTAGTTCTAGGAAAGAAATTCGTTTTGTTTGATGGGTTTGAATAGTAGTGGAAGAATTGGAATGAATTAGGAATTGAATAAAGGGTGAAACTAAATTACAATCTGCAAATTTATTCTCAAGTTACATTTTTAAATCGTCAAACTTCTCGATAAGGCTTTAAAAAACCTGTGAAAACTGGACAGGTATGTACATTTTTCAGAACTAATAGAATTTAAATACAACTGAGGAGCAAAATAATAAAGTGCGGTCTTGATAACCACATCAATTTCGTTACTGTGGTGCAATTGTAGAAGTAAATTTGAGAGATAAGTACAAGGATTAGAGGTCTATTTAAGGGGACCGGCTACCCTAAAATTTTAAATTTTGGCGTTTTCCGGTTTTTGTGCTCATCTGAAAGCTGGAATTCTGCTCTTTCCAATGGTACCACTGCCATCGCTGTACGCCAATATTTACGTTCATGACGTCTCTTTAAAGGGANACTTTATTTGCCCGTTATTTTAAAAGTATGCGATTGAATCTTAGTCTAAAACTTCGTTGCATGTTTTCGCTGAACACTGAACTTCGTTCTGGAAACGCTGCTTCTGATATTTGTATATTCACATAATACCTCTGTCGTCACTGACAATATTTTGCCACGTTAAAAGTTACTAAGTGCGTGACTCTTAACCAACAAGAAATGAAATTTGCATGGCATGTTCGGCATTGAACAGAAAGTATAAAGTATGCAAAGTATTCGAATGGATCAAAATTTTTATTTTATTTTTCTTACCTGATCGATCCTCTAATACTTTGAAAATCTTTCTTAGTGACATCATAGCAGCCTCTCTGCAGACGATCTTCAGATCCGAGCCACTGTAGCCTTCGCTCATCTGCCACATAAAATCTTGTAAAATTCAGAGCAGAAAGATCTTTTTGCAAAGTAAAAATACTAACTTTTTAGAAAGTATTAGGTTACATCCACCAGTCTGAAATTGTAATGAAAATGCACTAGATAAAGATTCAGTCCGTCTAAATTCACTCACGTCAATGTCAATGGCCTCATTTAAACGTCAATGGCCCTTTGAATTGTTCTGTCAATGATAGTAATGACCTGGGCCAGGTGGTTGTAGTCTAGGTGGGTGCTGACAGTGTGTCCGGCCTCGGCCAGGTCCAGCAGGTCAGGTGGTAGATGGTGCATGAACATGGCGGATCTCGCTTCTGCTGAGGGCAGCGGCACGAGGATTCTTTTCTCCAAGCGACGCAGCATAGCTGGATCCAGCTCCCTGTTGCGATGGGAAAATGTCGCTATTGAAAATAATTTTCCAGGTATGAAGACAGGCGACGCAGCATAGCTGGATCCAGCTCCCTGTTGCGACGGAAAAATGTCGCTTTTGAAAATAATTTTCCAGGTATAAAGACAGGCGACACAGCATAGCTGGATCCAGCTCCCTGTTGCGATGGGAAAATATCGCTGTTGAAAATAATTTTCCAGGTATAAAGACAGGCGACACAGCATAGCTGGATCCAGCTCCCTGTTGCGACGGAAAAATTTAGCTATTGGAAATAATTTTCCAGGTACAAAGACAGGCGCCGCAGCATAGCTGGATCCAGCTCCCTGTTGCGACGGAAAAATGTAGCTATTGGAATGTATGTGAAGTTTCATGATGATCGGATAATAACTGTAGAAGTTTTTCTGGAGGGTAGCCGGTCCCCTTAAAACTCTTGGGAAATGCCAATGTACATATTTTCTTGAACTTTTCACTAAACGGACTAGCACGAACACGTCGAACAGCTTTAACAAAACTTACTGTAATACGTTATGCAGTTGTCAACAATCCGAAGTGAGACCGACTACTCCATTGGATTTCAAGTGAATTGGTTATACTCGGATGTGTTTGGTGAAATATTCAAGCACACGATACGACGCTGAAATACAGTATATTGATATGTTAAGCTGCAAACTGTTGAATATGTGATTTGGTGTTTGTTCTCGATTCTAGTTTACATTTTTTCATTAGCGATGAGGGTTACTTTCTTGTCCAATGAGCATACCTAATTTTGTTCATATTTGGAAAACTCCCGACCCGACAACTAGAGCCAGAATGTCTGCGGTCGCACATCAAGAATTATTAGCAAAGTCGATATTTTAAATGAACAAAAATTTTCCAGCCAGTCACAGATCCGCAACAGAGCATCATAGCCTAGCAATGCAATCCGTAGTATTGTTCTAAAATCTTGAACATTTGCTTGAGCTGAGTTTGTTGAAGTTTTGCTCATAGCCGAACGTTTAATTAAAAGGTACGGAAAGATATTTTTTATATTAAACCAGCGTTATTCTATCGGTGACATCAGCCAAAATATTATCAAAAAATTATCAAAAAAAGTAATGAATAGTTGTATTGCGAAAGTTCTACAGTCTACACGGAGCCGAACTTCTCATGCCACTCGATGTACTGCTGGGAGTCTTGCTGCGCGGGTTTGGTCCGCGCCAGCGCCGTCTCGACGTCCCTCATGGTGATGTCTTCGAGCTGTAGCTCCGGCAGGTCGTCGTCGTCAACTGCACAATATGCATCATATTAAAAATGGAAATTAGGTTAAAATACGGCAAAAGTCTTGGCATGGTGGATTTTTTTACGAGTAATTTTAGGCACACTTTATTTGCCTGTTATTTTAAAAGTATGCGATTGAATCTTAGTCTAAAACTTCGTTGCATGTTTTCGCTGAACACTGAACTTCGTTCTGGAAACGCTGCTTCTGATATTTGTATATTCACGTAATACCTCTGTCGTCACTGACAATATTTTGCCACGTTAAAAGTTACTAAGTGCGTGACTCTTAACCAACAAGAAATGAAATTTGCATGGCATGTTCGGCATTGAACAGAAAGTATAAAGTATGCAAAGTATTCGAATGGATCAAAATTTTTATTTTATTTTTCTTACCTGATCGATCCTCTAATACTTTGAAAATCTTTCTTAGTGACATCATAGCAGCCTCTCTGCAGACGATCTTCAGATCCGAGCCACTGTAGCCTTCGCTCATCTGCCACATAAAATCTTGCAAAATTCAGAGCAGAAAGATCTTTTTGCAAAGTAAAAATACTAACTTTTTAGAAAGTATTAGGTTACATCCACCAGTCTGAAATTGAAATGCAAATAGATGAAATCTGAAATTGTAATGAAAATGCACTAGATAAAGATTCAGTCCGTCTAAATTCACTCACGTCAATGTCAATGGCCTCATTTAAACGTCAATGGCCCTTTGAATTGTTCTGTCAATGATAGTAATGACCTGGGCCAGGTGGTTGTAGTCTAGGTGGGTGCTGACAGTGTGTCCGGCCTCGGCCAGGTCCAGCAGGTCAGGTGGTAGATGGTGCATGAACATGGCGGATCTCGCTTCTGCTGAGGGCAGCGGCACGAGGATTCTTTTCTCCAAGCGACGCAGCATAGCTGGATCCAGCTCCCTGTTGCGATGGGAAAATGTCGCTATTGGAAATAATTTTCCAGGTACAAAGACAGGCGACGCAGCATAGCTGGATCCAGCTCCCTGTTGCGACGGAAAAATGTCGCTATTGAAAACAATTTTCGAGGGATTAAGAACGATCAAAGGTTGTTTCGAAATTTCTTTAAATATTAGCAACCAGATATTTTTTGAAAAATGTCAATGGTTTACTGAGAGGTCCATAAAATGTTATCGGTATCCGCGAGTTTAATAACACTAAGAATATGATTAGCTCGATGTATGAAAACACTCGGTTGGATGGGAAACAACCATGAAGTAAGGGCTCTACTAAGATAATACAATGTTATTCAGTATCTTCCGATGCTTGAATCAATTACATCTCGCAGAGGTTGTTGGACTCAAAATGTTATTTATATAAGTAAGCCAAAAATGATTCAAAAACTCTTGAACAAGAGGATTTTAGGCTACCAAAAAATATTTAGCCTAACGAAGGTTTCAAAGGCGCATTATGAAATCCATGTTAGATTCTGAAAATCCAACCATAAAATACTAGAGGCTGCAAAACTGTCCAAAAACTTTTTTTTAATCGGGAGCCGATTATCACATTAAAAAAAACTGAAGGCTGGAAGAAAAATTGTTTAAAAGAAATGTTTAAACGTGTGAGCCTCTTAAAATCTAACTAAATGATATTAGGTGCTGACAAAATATTCTACAAAAATTTTTTTAATCTTGTGTTATTCTTGGAATCAAACCAAAGAATATTAGAAGCTGAACAAATGTACAATTAGAGCTCCAACCAAGACCGACCAAGGAATATTAGAAGCTAACAAAAAAAAATGTATAACTTTGAAGTGGATCAATACCGACCAAGGAATATTAGAAGCTGCCAGAAGGAAGACGTGTTCGTTGGTAGCGGTCAGGCCGTCCAGCTCGACCAGCAGCTGGGTCTTCATGCGTCTGGATGCTTCGTGCTCCTGGTCGCCAGCTCTGCTGCCCATCAGAGCGTCCAGCTCGTCCACGAATATCGTGCTGGGCGCGTGGTGGCGGGCCATCTCGAACAGCACCTGCAGGAGGCAAACACGTCCTACGTTACAACGTTACATCCGGGACCCGAGGGCGGGGTGACCTGCCTAGCGACGACTCGGAGACGGAGGACGACGAAGGCGGAGCTTCAGCTTGACCGGGGACTAGGAAGTCCCGAACTCATCATAAGGTCATAAGGAGGTCATCTAACTCACGCGAAGTAAAAGTGTTTTAGAATACTAATTTATTGATTTCTCTTAATGACTTCATAATGCTACTGCCGATAAAGATTTATGTGTTACCATTTCACCATCGTGGTTTCCGGAAGTCACCTCTACGGTGCCCTCTAGTTTATTCTTCCAAAAAATGCTCTAAGGAAAATTTCTTGATGATGTCGATACATCCAAGATGTCGATAGGCCATGGGCCTATTTTTTCAGTGCCGACACTTCTATCCTTAGCTCAGATTTTTTTTGTAAATATAATGTTATCAGACCAGCAGTCGTAAATGCAAATTTTGATGATAGACTTTCAGTGATAACTTTTTCTGCCCTTAAGATGAATTTATAAGTGATTCTACCTTACCATCGTGAGAGATAAAAATGCTTCTACACCCACAAAAATGAGAAATCTAAAAAACCGCCGTGTTCAGTTTTAGATATGGTCTTTACGCATCGAATGATATGTGTCTCGCTGTTCTAGCTTGAAAATCCTAGGAGATAGATTTCTACGGTACCCCCTTTTTGGCCGTTTTCTAAGATTTTCACGTTTTCTTCCATTCTTTTCGAAAAAATCACATGAACAAAAAAGTCTTAGATTTCTCTTTTACATATGTGTACCAAGTTTCAGAGCGATCCGTCTGTAAATAGCCGAGATAAATTTTACCCCAGACGCTCCCCTTAAGATGAATTTATAAGTGATTCTACCTTACCATCGTGAGAGAATAAATTATTTCCAACTCGGAATTTTTGCTCACCCTGACAAGCTTCTCTGAGTCGCCCCGCCATTTTGACACTAATGTTGTTGCTGAGATGTTGAAAAATGTAGTCTTGCATTCTGTCGCCACGGCCTTTGCCAGCAGTGTTTTCCCTGTTAGGATCGAATAATGTTAGGCTACTAACGTCAAACATTTTGTAGAAATAACATTTTCAATAAATTGGCTCAATTTGGTTGTAAAAATGTCCGATCCTCTCATCAACTGCCATGGGATAAAATTGATTTCTTTACTATCTGAACGAATATTCGTTCGGTTTGTACATCGAATAACGTGGGGAGAAGTTAATGTTCATTTTGAGCCTCTGATTGATTCTAATGAATAATATTTCTTGAAATCCATTTACTAGATTTTACAAGTATTGGATACGCATGTACTGCGTTCGTGTGGGGTAAATAAGTATCAGCAAAAAGTTGAACCTGGTGAGTTTTGATTATTCATTTTAATTCACTAAATACACAAATCGCGTAAATTTCTTACATGCAAAGGGAAATAATGTCAAGTGGCACTGTTCTCCAACCAGTCCCAAACACTCTTCTTAAGTTGGCATGTGGTTACGAAAAGATTCGGATAGAGAAAATGAATTTAACACTTAATTACAATCTTAATTTTAACTAGTTCAGCAACAGAATCTGAAGAAAACTTATTCACTTGAAATCTTCCGTATCAATTAAAACTTAGCAAGCAGCATTCAATAATATTCACCATGTACTTGGAATGTGCGACGTTACCTGCAAAGCGTTAAAAAGACTCACCAGTGCCCGGAGGTCCGTACAACAGCACCCCCCGCCACGGCTTGAAGCGCCCTACGAACAACTGAGGATATTTCAGTGGGTAAACTACAGCCTCCTTCAGAAGTTTCTTAGCATCTTCTACACCCAAGACATCTCCCCAGCTCACTGCAGGGTTCTCAACCACCACTTCCTGTTAAGAAAACATCATGAAAACACATTTTATTGGATATTAAATGCATATTCCAGACCAAATTGAATTTCTTAAATTAAATTTTTTAGTGACCTAAGCACAGGTAGAAAATTGGCATATGCATTTTCATGCATTTATTATTATTGTTTGCCGATGGGAATGTTGCGACGAAAATGTATTACAATTCAATTAATTTTCCCTTTAAAATTCAGTGACCAAAATTATTCCAAAACATAGACCAATAACTACCATTAAGTATTTAAATATTTAAGATCTTACCCTAAGGATCGACATAGCAAGATCTTTCAAGTCCCCTGTCAGACTTGGAGGGATCTCAGATCCCGGGCCTTTCACCACTCTCTCGTCTAGAAGATCTTCTCCATTTTCTTCTGTATGGATAATGAATGAAATAAGAAAACCATGCTCATATTTCAATTTTCGTTGCAGAAAAGTTCTAGTGTCATTTTAAAAGAAAAATTCTAGAGCAAATTCGTACAAATAAATTGGAAAAATGATTTCTGATAAAAGTATCTGTATTACAAACAAAAGGCGATTGAAAATTCTACTGAACATTACCACAACAGAAACTTGGTCAAGGCCAGAAAAATACTCAAACGAGAATACAAACCATTGATGAAATTATTCATTTTGGCCAAATTCACTGCTAGTTTTGACACTTCACGCGTTTCTGCTCACCGCCATTCTGCGACGCTTCGGTTGCCTTCTTCGTTGCGTCTGCGCCGGGCTTCTTGCCACGGCCGATGTCGCCGATGTTGTCTTCCAAGCGAGTGTAGTCCCTGATCATGCTCTTCAGGTCGAGGATTTGGTGACCCTGGTGTGCGAAAAACACATTTAATAATGTCAATTGCTGCACCGATTGTTTTTCGGGTGATGAGCGATTATTCTGCAAAAAATTCAAAACTGTGGTGCGAAGAACCCGCATCACAACGATGCGGTTTCTTTTATGTCTGTATTTAATTTTTATTATCTACCAAAGGGCTAAGGAGGCATTATTAACCTATATTCAGAGGTGAACAGTAGCGCGCTACATGTAGCGGTAGCGGTAGCCTTTAAGCAAATTAGATGTAGCGGTAGCTTCCGCTACATTTAGAGCATGTAGCGATAGCGGTAGAGGCCGCTACATTTCAAAGTAGCGCTGCCCAGCTCTGCCTATAATAAAACTCGTTGCGTCTACATTGTCTACAATGATATTGAAGATAAGTTGTGACCATTTTGGCGGGAGTGAGTGGCTGGAATGGACTGATGTTGCTGCGGTTGCCGCTGCCTGGTGCGCTGCGGTTGCCTTTATCGCTGTCGCTGTCGGAGGACGACTTGGTGCGGTCACGCTTTTCGTCACCGGGCGATCGTCGTCCAACCAAAGGTTTTCTAAGAGAGAGAATACCAATTAGGTGAACATGTTACACATGTAATTTTAATATCTTTGAAGATACATGAATTGAACGGGGAAAGATTTTTAAAATCATAATTTAACGTGAGCAATGTTTCAACTCGGAAAAACAAACAAGAGAATGTTTACAAACAACTGACCAACGTGTTAGGTTTTTATTGCCACTTTCAAAGCATGACAAAAGCAGTAAGATACTTTGTACATTTTGATGAGACAGATCTAACAAATTCAATCATGTATAACAAATTTAGCATACAAAAAAATCGACATTTCATTTTATTATTTGTCGCACAGCAGGCTAGGAAGAAATTTTATGTAATTTCATTTGCAGAATTATGCTTAGTGGGGAAGGATTTATAACAACTTTACCAAAATTCCAAAAAATAAATTATCTGCGCAGATGTTCATTAAATAGCCAAATATTCCTAAGACACATTTGGCTTAGGGATAAGAAACGAGATTATGTATTTTTTCGATATTATATATTTTAATATAATCCACCGTGAATAAAATTGTGGATTCTCACCTGATAAAGTTGTGTTTGCGTCTGTTGTCTAGTACGTGGTCGAGCGTCTTGATATCGGGACTACCTCTCGACCTGAAATATATACACCTAATAAGTAAATAAAATAATAACTTAATTTACCATATACAGTCAATTTAATGTACAATCAATTTAATATTATTACACCTAATAACTAAATAAAATAATAACTTAATTTACCATATATAGTCAATCTAATATACGATCAATTTAATGTTATGTACAATTTATTCCTCATGATTATGTTTGTTTTAGCAAGTCTTATTGATATACATTTCACCTTTTACGATCTGGTAAGGTTTTGCCGATGTTCGATAAGTTAGGGTCGCTGCTGTAGCGATTAAAGCTTGCGCCTTTTCGGGGAAAGGAGCGTTTGCTGGAATGCAAGTTCGACGATGATATACACATTAATAATTAAATATGATTGATTATAAATAAACTAATTGAGTGAATGAATGGACTGGAATATCTATCTTTTATGTTCAAAATTCTTTTTAAATTTTGAAAAATTGTATTTGCATTAAAAGCCAAGCTCGATTCCAAGTCTACCGCATTTCTATCTACGGCATAAATATTTTTGGGTAAAAATTTTTCGAGTTTAAAAAATTTATTAAGTACTATATTCGAGGCACTAGGATAACTTCTAGGGTAAACTAAAAAAAATAAGTAACTTCGATGAACATCTAAATTCTACAAGTAGGAACTAAAGTAGGATTTTCCAAATTTGATGCGAAGTTCTAATGCAGTCGCTTGATTTGTTAGTAAATTGAGATTGAGTGGCTAGTAAAAAAAACAATTTATTGCTACAGGATTACTAAGTGTTATTGTGAACTCTAACCTGACATCACCCCCAACCCTGTTGTGTTCCGTGAGGTCTGGGGGAGGTTTTCTACCCACGGAGTTGGGGGGAGTTTGCACCCCCGAATCTCCCACCTTTTCGGTAGCGCGCTTGGCAAACCGCGGATATCTTTCAAACTGAAAAAGAGGTAATTTAAAAATTTAAAGTTTAAAATATCAAATAATATACATTATGCAAGATCTACAATCATCAATAGAAAAAAGAGCTACAATGTAGCAGTCATGATTTACGGATATTTTAAAATGTATAGAATGATATTAAGAAAAGAAATATTCATTAGAAAAATTGTATTTATGTTCCAAATAAAATATGAAATTACTTGGGTTAAAATAACACACATTCATTCTTAAATATGCAGTTTGGTCAAGTCGTACTAACGTAATGTACTACACAGCAAAATCGTTACAATCGTACGCGATTTCAATAGATCTATTCTATGCACTATATTTATAAGTGCGTGTGGAAAATAACGTGGTACCTCGCAATACTAGTATTAAATTATTTTTCTGCAATATTGAGAATGCAATTCATTAATATATAAGAAAAGAAATTGTCTGAAGCTCCTACACACTCACCTTATCACAATACCACCTCTCATACAGGCTTAGCACTGAGTCCAGGTCGCTGTCTTCACACACGCTGAAGTTCTCAGCACTCAAGCGTGACTCTCCGATGAGCTGCTGGGCGCTCGCGGTGAAACTGTGCGAATGAGGAAAGCGATGAGATTTAACGATGGACCAATAAGAGTAGAAAAGTGACACATATCGACCAATAAGAGTAGAAAAGTGACACATATCGACCAATAAGAGTAGAAAAGTGACACATATCGACCAATAAGAGTAGAAAAGTGACACATATCGACCAATAAGAGTAGAAAAGTGACACACATCGACCAATAAGAGTAGAAAAGTGACACATATGGATAAAGAAATGTTAATGAAGTTAAGAACATATGATGTGCACTGCGCAGAAAAAATGTAACTCAGTACTCACTGCAGTCACTGCAGTGAGTGACAGAGCGCTTTTTCTCGTGGACGAAAACGTGAAGTCACGGACGGACAGACAGACAGACAGACGGACGGACATGGCGAGCACAATAGCGCCTTTTTTCCCATAAAAGAGGAAATGCGCTAAAAAGCGCGATGGTTGTAAGTTCAGAAAAGCTCGTATATAATTTTAAGCTTCCAGCAGCATTGATTTTCATTACTTGACGGAAAAAATCATTTTAGGCCTATTTAAGAAGAGAGTGAGGAGAGGTAATTGAAAGTGAGTGAGTTGTTCATTTGCAAGCACAAAAATATTTTTAATCATATTTAACGGGCCTCGAACTGTCTTACTATTTCCCTGTCTTTTGCCCCATTGTGGCAAGAATGAGTTCCAAGTTTGTTGCTATTACCAAACTAATCACCGACTCACCCTTCTTTTTGGAGATAGTGATGAACCAGAATCAGGAGGCTCTTCCGTCTGACGTCAGCTCTTTTCTCCGCCTGAAACCAATCATTTCACTAAGTGAAATGTCTCCTTAAGGTTAATTAAGTGAGATGTCTCCCACTCCTCGAATAATCATACTTTTAGAGGTTCATAACTTGCTTTAATACACAATTTTCGTCTTGAGCGATGAGTCGAATAAATTAGGATAAATTTATTCATTTTTATTTGCGGCATGTTTTTGCAGTAGTAACTGCAGGTACGTTGTATTTCCACAGATAACTCACCATGTCCCTGGCAACGCTGGCGGCGCGTAAGCTCTGTAAAGTCACAGCTGGACCCGGCATGGCTGCGGCAGTGAGTTCGATTGCTGGAAATAGGAAAAAAATATTCATATGTAGAAGGGAAGTCGACGATAAATTTGATCGATGCTTGACGACTTGGATGACTGAGAATTAATTCAATTGGGTAAGTAAATTATTATGCTCGTTCACAGATTAGCGACCATCAGTTGGCTTGTTTCTGCAAAACACGAGACACCAAATTGTACCAAAAAATTGACGTATTCGAGAGCAAAGAGATTTATGAGCTACAAAGAGCATTGAATAATTTTTTATATAATTAGGCTCCAAGCAAAACCTTATCATCTAAAATATGTGGGAAACCTTAGGCTTTGATACCTCATAAATTTTTTTTTGTGTTGACAGAATACAACAATCGAAAAATTATGTTATAAATTCATCACGTACGTTTCGTACTCCTTTGAGGGTTGTCGTATTTTAGAAAATCCTCAATGTTTTGTCCCGATTAGCGATAAAAATCCGGACAATTTGCTGACATGTTACTTTATTCCGGAAAAATTTTTCCTCGCCTCGTTATTTAATTGTTCCGTGACATTACTCGTCACAGAACCATTAATCGCGATTCAGATTCATTAAGATCGAGAAAACTGTTTCGAGATGCAGGTGCTTATCACGTTATCTGCATATCTACTACTGAACACATTTTCAAAAAGAGATCAAGAATAATAAGGAAAGGCATCTTAATTCAATTATAATAAGATTAAAGAACATATAATTTATAAATTACTGTGGAGACAATAACTTTGCCAGTGCAACAATAAACTTTTTTTTTCGATTGCTGCCAAGGATAGAGATTCCATTTTTTACAGGCCCTAGATCATCAAAACTCAGCCAAAAATCGCTGAATTTGAACGAACATCAATGATAAAAGCCAACGATTTCTGTTAGTCATCATGGCAACAATCCGCATCCATCAAGCAAACATCTCGGAACGTATTATTTTCGAGCACGGATTGGATTTTATCCGTTATTAGTATAATTCAAGAAATAGTTTTTAGTTAAGCAGTGAATGTAACGTTTATACTCACATTAATTCCCACACCAGCCTCAAAAAGTCACTTATTTTATGCTATAACTTGAGGAGAATATCAGGACGACATTGCCTGCCTGACGCCGTCGTCATGACTACAGCGCCGGATATTGAACAACAAGGCAGCTAATCAGGGTAATCTATACGGCTAATTTAGGGACGAAATCTATTTAGATCAATTAGTGTTGCAAGGATGTGGGTGGTTACATTAATTGTTACTAAATCAAGTCAATTTGAAATTTAAAAACTTTGGGATTGTGTCTGGGTCAAACTTTAAATGTAAATAAGAAACAGAGCTCGCGGATAGTTCATAAGTTAGAATGTCCGAATCATTTTCCTTAACAAACACTTCAATTAAATATTAAATATTTCATTTAAATGCGGGTACCAATTCAATCGTATATAAATCCGCAGGTCTCATTCAAAATGATTAAATACTATATCACGTCGGGAGGTTTTAATATATATTTTCTGTACATTTTTCACTGAAACTTAATACAATCATTAGCTGTTAAAGGAAAAAAAACTTGCATTCAAATATTATCAAGCCAAGAGGAAACATGATACGTGTGTGATTTTGATTACGATTAACATTTAATTATATTCTTGGAAATATATTTTTTTAATTTCCACATTTTTCTTCATTCACTTAAAAAGCAAAAATTACTTTCTGCGACGCCGAATTATTGGTCTCTTGGTCTTTCCTAATCAGAAATTAGCAAAGAATATGATCCCAAAATTACTATTGACATTTTACTCTGAATTCCAATGCTCAGAAATTTTTCAGCGCATTTATTCAGCTGAAAATTTATAATTTTGACTCTGACATTGGCTGGTCTGCCATCTAATGTTAACAGAGAATGAATAATGAAAATTACAAGCGAGATACGTTTCGTAGAACGGTACAGGCACGGCCACTGCGGGAGCCACTTGCGTACTGATTGGCCAGGCTATGGACGAGTCAACGTCACGCGGTCCACGTGAATTTAGGGCAAAGAAAGAAGGCTCAAGGCTTCAGCTCAGCTTAGATTTTCATTTTTATAATATAATAAATATATTAATTCAACTGTATTTCGTGGTTGGGGTGGAGGGTGTAATAAATATCTGAATCTTGTTTAAATTTGCCATCTGGGCTTAAACATTTTGTATTAATTTACCAGATAAAATTAAATGGAAATGAAGAACGTCGAGTGTTTGTCGCCTGTGGAGATTAGTTACCACCTGAGCAGGTTATTGATTTCAAAATACAAATGAATTAATTTTGAGAACATTTATTAAAATAATTGGCGATCAGTTTGAAATTTTTTCAATGTTTTCTAACATTGGGTGCAGTTTTAACGTAAAATTTCATGCACGAATGTAAGTTAACCAACAAGAATACAATTAATCATTACATGGCCCGTACATCTGAAACTTTTTGCTACAATCGATCAGCGATGTGAACTCGTTGTGCTAAAAAAATTGTGCCAAAAATGTCACAGAGCTAATTTTAAATCTCACAAAAATTATGTCACGTAACTTATGCGAGCACAAGAGATCGTATTTTGTCATCTAAATATTGAGTATTGAACAATAATCGTGTCTAAATATAATATGTAATTGTTCAATAATCGTATCTAAATATTGAACAGGAAATTAGTTTATGTAGTTGCCGTGATGGGCGACTCGTACTCCAGTAACGATTTTAGAGGACGAGGAGCAGGGTCTTTTTACCAAGTTAATTGTACACAAGAAAAATTTTCAACATTCATGATTTGAATTATGATGAAGGCATCAAATATTTGTATAGCTTGACAAATGAGACTACGAAGAGAAGCCATTCACATTTATTTGCAATAAATTTAATGCTGTTAATAGAATTTCATTGGATAAATTTCAACTCACACAATATAATACGTGTATATTTTTACGTTAATTCCTTTAATAATTGTTATTTAAAAATTAACATTAATTCATAAAAGATAAAATTGCAAATTCAAGGTATCAAGGTAAAAACAATTAATTTGGTCTATAAATAGTATTAAGGCAGCTTGTATCTTATAAATTTTCAGTTAAATGCGTTGGCCAATTAATGCATAATGAATAGCACAACGCATATGAAAACAACCGAGTCGCAAGTCGTACTGCATCGCAATGAACGCGTCTTTGCTGTTGTAGATGTTGTAAACTCCCAACGTTTTAGAAGCAGAGCTATTGTTAGTTTTGTAAATGCCAAACGATTGTTGGCGATTGGGAAGCGAAGCTATTGTGGCATGTTTTAACCCTGGGACTCTTTCACTTACGGCGCAGCTGTCCAGGTACACATGCGCTAACGGTGCATAAGTTAAGCGTTGATTACACGAGTACCTCATCAGCGATCTTGATTTTGAGTCCAAAAATTATACAATATAGTCAGCCCTGACTGGTAGGTCCTATTGAGCGTTAAGGAATAACCCAACATAGTATGGGATTCGAGAAACTAAATTATGGAAAAGCTATGACAACTATGCAACCGAGGGTAGGCTTAAGTAGCTTTAAATGGAACGACTATACTGCATATAAAAAAATATGAAATATAATGCCCAATTGCAGATTAAATAAGGAAAAGAAACAACAAGTACAAGTAAGTGCAAATTTTTGAATAGCGGCATTATTTATTGATATTTACATGCAACCGCCTATTTTCTATATAGATTGAAGTAGCGTCGTTTTATTAAATAAACATTTTAGAGTTTTTGAGTAAAAAGTGTTGCAAACCTCAAATAAATTTTTAAAGTAGCTGACTTAATTTGATTTTTTTTTAACCTGAGATAACGATGTATAGTGTAAGTCAAGCGTTAACACAACTTCCCGGCCTCCTCGCCGATTCTGACCAGAAACTGGCGCACAGAGCTGGGATCGAACCCGCGCCTCTCTGCTCCAATCCTGATACTCTGAAATGTGACCACTGGGCATATAACAACTACTGCATAAAATAAGTTAATATGAAAGAAAATGCTTAATTGCAGATCAAATGAGGAAAAGAGTCAACATGTACAAGTAAATGCTGATCTTTCAAAAGCGGTATTTATTGATGTTTACATATAACAGCCAATTTTCTTTATAGATTTAAGTAGCGTCGTTTTATTAAACAAACAATTTGAAGTTTTTGAGAGCTGAAGTGTTGCAAACCACGAATAAATTATTAAGGTAGCACATTTTATCTGATTTTTACAACACTTCTCTTTAACTTCACTTCTTGTTTGTCTGTCTGTCTGTCTGATACAAATATTATAATCGAACTTCAACACACTTCTACTTATCCTATCGATCTGCAATTTCCCACACTTGTGTAAATTGATGACAATGCAAGAATCAAATGACAAAAGAAATGATTTTGGAATTATTTTTTTAATATCAAAAATTTGAAAAAATAATTTTGTCAGCTACAAATCTTTTAACTGATATTTGACACACTTTTACCTGTCCAATTGATCTGAAATTTTGATTACTTGTGTGAAGTCGGAGGCAATGCATGAATCAATTGACAGAATAATAAAATTTTGAAAAAAATATAATTAAAAAATTGAAAAATTAATTTTTTTAATATTCGAAAATAAAATGATAATTCATAGTACATCTTTAACATTCGAGATACTGGATTCTTAAGAAGTGTTGTCTTTAAAAAGTAATTTTTAAACGTATATTATTTTAACCTTAGATAACGATGCATGTTGTAAGTCAAGCGTTAACACAACTCTTGTGTTTGGGGGTTGGAGTTGATCTGGGGTGAGTGGGGTGAAAGGAGTGAGTGGGGTGAGTGGGGTGAGTGGGGTGAGAGATTTCAGAATGCACTGTATTGTTTTGTTTAGTCACCATGACAACGAGCGGGGGAGAGGGAAGTGGATTTTACCCCTCCTCCCTCTAGCATAAATAACAGCAATAGAAGGTAATATTTGGACGATTACTGAATTTTCGGGGTCTGTTTTATTACAAAGGAATTTTTTGTACCGGAAATTAAACGATTTGAATAGAGAGAGAGTATTTAACCGAAATGAGCAAGAATTTTACAACGCCAATGTTCATTTTCTTGCCTAGAGATAACGATTAAAAAGCCCCGTAGAACGATGACCGAAAAAAATTCCAAACACAAGAAAGTTAATAAACATAGAAATATGTTTAGTATCAGGAATACAAGCAGCAAGTGAATACAAATGATGACTACCCAACATTAAATCAGTGCATTTCAATTAATTCTAAAAAGATAAAACTCTATGTCTGAGAAAACTTTATATAAATTAGCTAAGAAGTTAAGATAAAACTATATATAAATTAGCTCGGATAGAATACAGAAAATAAACTTTATTATAAAGTCTGCGGAATGCAAACTGATTTTTGAGAGAGTGAAAAAGTTTCAATGAATCTGAATAACAATTCTTGAATCACAATTCAAAATATTCCAAATCACCTCAGATTATAATCTAATTTAGAAAAGATGTAATTTAAAAAGAGAAATAGTCATGGCAAATTCAACGCAAGTTGCGAAAGTTCATGGCCACCGTAAACCGAAATGATTTCTTATCATTTTCCCAGGCATTTGAAGTCAGCCATGCATTCTTAAGATAAGATGTAGGCTGTACTCATGCATGTCCCGTCACCTTATCTTTTCCGTTCGACGGAAAAGATAAGGTTGTGTTATTAAGTGCGACTAAGCACCGTCACTCGTTATTGAGTGCGGTATAAGCGCCATCACTCGTTTTCTGTTGCTACGCCAGAAGGTCAACATCACAGAAAATTACCGCATTCGTGAGGGTCAGAGTCACGGCCCGTCCGACCCTCAGTCGGCCCTGACCGGTCGTTGGTGTCGGACGTTCGTGTGTGGAGCCTTAGCTTAAATAAATTCATATATTCCTATGTATGTAATGTAATTTTAATTTTTCAGGAAATTTTTCAGGTAATGTAATTTTTCAGGAAACAAAATTCAATCAAAATGAAAAGAGAACAAATGACTGCCAAAATAAAAGAACGATGAACACAGTCAAGCGGGACCGGGATTGAAACAAAGTCTACGTCGCACTAGTGTCTGACCAGATTAATTTTGTATTGGAAATGCCTTAGCCCTTCAAAGTTAGGGATCGTGGTGTGTTGATCGATGACTTCTACAAAGTTCAGGGACTTGGACTAACCTTGTGGATTTAACACGAGTTTTGTGATTAATTAATACGTGTGACGATGTATCACTAATACGACGCCGAAACAATTCACAGACGGAATTAATGTAGAAGATGTGTCATGTCGATCAGAATTACCTGATAAATATTTCAATACATTAAATTATATTAGAAGGTATTGTCTCCTCCGTAGTTTGAGCTTCCCATCTTCTCAATCAAAACTGTAGTAGTGACCAGTATATATAAAAAGTTTAAGTTCTATTTTGTTGGAGTGCAATTTTAACAAAATTTTGTTGAATTTATGTATATTCATGTATATCATGTGCAGAAAAATTCATTTAGCACATAATTCTATAGTACCCTTTGCTGCCTGCAGATAGCAAGTTTCGTTTCGTTGAAGTTACGTGATTGATTCCAAAACGGTTCAATTTTGAACATTAATTTTTGAAAAAACCACCGTCCCGACAAATTACACTAATTAGCATGTAAAAGAATGTGTCTCATTCAAAACGTGAGCTATTTTAGTACTTTCTCGGAAATTTTGAATTTAAATAGATCCTTGGTGATTCATCAAGTATGACATTAGAACTGGATTTTCATCGTGGAAAATATAACACATACTGAAGATGGGTCAATTGATGAGTTCGATTGGTTGTGGCGACAACAAGACTGAAGTGAAAAAACTCCCAGCTTCGAAAAATTCATTTCCGGAAGAAAATGATCGACCAACATCGGCTCTAACCCTAGTGGACTTAAACCAAGCCGAACTAGAGAAAAACTTCCTCAGAGAAAGCAGCAGCGCTAACATCAAAAACAGAAATATTAACAATAACGTTGATATGGGGTCGGCGGGATCGTCGGGAAGAGGTTCAAAACCACCAACTCCTGCCGATGGGGACAAACTTTATGGGAATGGAGCCCCAATTTCCTTCATAAGTGGGAGAATTCCCTCGGCCTACGACAGTATCCCGTCCAGTGACCTGGGGGTGAGTAGTTTTTTATGAGTGAAGTTTCAATAGTTTCATAAGTTTTAATATATAAACTATTGAAAGTAGTTTTATAACTTTCAATACATAGACGTTAAGTGTATATTCGCAGGAACTTTTGAGGAATTATATTATCTTCTTTGCATCATTACATTAGACTAGTGTTATCTTACCTCACAAGTGGTAGTTCCTAACTCTTTAATGTGATAATTTAAGTTTTACTTGATCATAGCTTGTATATATCAATATTTTCTGTGGAGACTTTCCTTCCAGGAAACTCGAGTCAATTTGTTAGGCGTGATGAGCTCAATTTGTCAGAAGGGAACAACAAAGGAGAGTCCTCTGTAGGGTCCTAGGCTAACATCAGGATAAATTGATTCAGAGGTCAATTGACTCAAAGGCAAATCGCTTCAAAGGTTAATTGACTCAGAGGTCAGAATCTATTCATTTTTCCGCCTGTTCAACACATCAATTTTATATATATCGTAATGATGACATGAAACGGACGGAATGCGTCACTGATTACGGAGAACGTTAAGCTGCCATTAAATGTATATTTTTTGTCGAGTTTGATTTTCAAACATAAGAAATCATGAGCGTTTTTTAATAGCAAAAAAGAACAGACTCAGATTCAGAACGAGGTTAATTGACACAGAATTTGATCGACTCGGAGATGAATTTACAAATTCGTTTGTACGGCATCCAGGAAACGTACTTGGAGAGGAACCTGATTTCGTGGATCAACTTTTTTTTACTTCGTCTTCCTACTTGTATATGTAGCTCCTACGAACGCAAATCAATTCCTCTGACATTTACCCATTCCCTCCGCGGCATAGCAAACGCCTCGTTCTCACTTAATCCGACATTACCAACTGCCATTATGATATTCTCGTCCAGCTTCCATCCGACCTTATCTGACATTAACCTCCTCTTCCTGTCATGCTCCACTCGCTGCTTCGTGATCACGAAAAAACGTCGCGTGATGCCCGAGTCAGCGACGCGTCGGTCGATCTCGGTTAGCGATTAATCATTGCTTTCCCATAGCTCAGTCTCGTCCTTCAGCTTCCTGACATAGATATAATTTATTAGCCGGGGCTTGGACTTAGTATACGTGAGAGGATTATCGAGAATCTATTGGATTTCTGTCTCTAATGTTATGAAAATTGAAGAGAATGCTTAATAAATTGAGTAGTTTTTATTCATAGTGTCAGGTTATTATGCCCAAGGTTATCTACTTAAATGCAATATTTCAATCAATGATGCAAAGATAATGTTTTAGGCTCAATAAAAGCCTAGAAAGACATCCAGGCTTATCAGACAGTGATCATCATTATTTTCAAGCTAAAGAAATGTTAGCTGATAATTCAACTGCAGTTGCACAAAATTTGAAGTCTTTTATCTATAAATCTTTCATGAGATGTATTTCTAAGCAATAATTTCGTAGTGATTCCTACAATATTTTATGTTAGTGTGCCGTAAGTCGATAAAGGTCTTGTGTCGAGCATCACAGGGCCACCATAGAAACCCCGGAAGCGATTTTAATGCCTGAAGGAATTTCAAGTTCCAAAGTTTACTTAAGAACTCGGGGCACATTGACACACAACATAGTCGTCTGCTCCAAGAAATGTACGACTGAAAAATCGCAGTGAACAATTAATATCTTATTATCTTTCATGTGGTTGTAAATATAACCACCTTGAATATGCTTTATTTATTTTAAGCTTATTATTGGTCACTGAACCAGCATCGAAATGTGTCAGATTACTGAGGATTACTTATTATCTGAAATCTTATTTACACTAACCAGGAAAAATGTTGCGAGCTCAGAGAAGTTCTTCATTCACGTCGATACAATTTTGTAGGCTCGATGTGCTTTGTGGGGAATTTTTAGGATGTACAGAAAAACATTACATTTGTTAAAAAATAGTTCATATGTATGAGCTTATTTAATTCAAAATTCTGTCACGGAACGGCATGAAGGCTAGAACAATTATTGTTAGATGTGTTTGACGCCGTTATGATCGAGGACCTTGGTAGCCTGCGCAACGACAAAGTTTTGCAATTACATTCTCAGGGCCGAATTCTGGGTGTTATTGAATTCAAAAGAAAATATTATTATTAGTAGTATTTATTGTTACACACAGTATTATAATTTACATTATTATATATCTCTACTTTATTACCTTATATTAAAATGAAAACTTTTAATATGGCAACTATTTTAATATAACAATTTTCAAATATGTCTACATTATTATATCTGAAAAGTTCACATTACCAAAGCTGTACATTTCGTTGTATAAATAATGAAATAATACATGAATTTCCTCACATAAAATGGCGTAGGATTAGTTTGAAACTCCAAATATGAGCCTGCCAAGTTTGAATGACAGTGAGTGACGCTCACATTATTGTGCGTCTTTTCTTTTGTCGTAATAAGTTTAGATTCGAGGCTGAGACTTAACTGACAGACCAACCTTTACACACGATTTTATAATGTGGCTACAAAGTGAATAAATTTAGAAGTGGAGTAGAGGCTCTTGGAGTACTGATAAAATTGTAAACTTTCAGATGCGACACGGAAAATTAAAATGTCAAGTCAAAATAGAGGAAAAGAGTTTTTAATAGATATTCTATGTAAGCCATCTCTAAATGACATTAATCGATCATGCCATTATGACGAAAATGATGTTCCAATTGATGTTAATTCAGACCGTGTTTTTTTTTGAAAAGTTCCAAAATAACGAATTACCTCTTAGATTATAGATAAAATACTGGAACAAGTTTAGCAAGTTGAATTATGGAAAACTTGCAGGGGTGAAAAATGTGGTAATACTTAGCTATAACGGAAACTAAACTGTATAAAACCTAAACTCGAGACTTACTCATTTCACCATATAAAATAAAACACCGTCAAGGTGATAAATCACTCCTCAGCATGAGCGTTTAACATGCAGCGGACATGCAATCTCGAACAAATTGGAACAGGAGGTCAGTGACACTTATTAGGTTCAGCTGAGATACAAGTACCTATTGTAAGTAAAGATACGTCGATCATTATCGGGGGCTGTTTCTGTAAGTTGTATTTAAGGAACATTCATGATCAATGTTTTTTCAATATTTTGAATACTTTTACTTTTCTATGGTTCCGTCCAGAAACTAATCAAAATTGTGATTTGCCGGAGAAAATTTTTGGATTTTGAAATTTCTGACATGAAAGAATTGAAAAGAATTTTTCTAATATAATGGACCTGTCCATTGCACTTGCTTGCGAAAATACTAATTTTTGGAAGATACAGGAAAAATCTAAAAAGTTTTGTTGAAACATAAATAAAGAACCGAGCGACCCAACGAATATTCTCAAATGCCAGAAATGATTTGAACACACATAGTCTACGGTAAAATAAACCAATATTTAGTTATCTCCGGCTCGAGCAATGCCTTACTATGACAGTAGTGCTCTAAAATTGTAAAAAATTGTACTAAGCAATTGTTCGATAAGGCGTACTGTAACTGAACTGGTTCGTATCATTGTTCATCATGTTGAATGCGTCGCACCTGTCAGGGATAATTGCTGACGTGTTGAAGGGCAGGTAAAGGCTGCGACTTTGTTGCTATGGCTACACTGAGCGTTCTATTGGCTCTTATTTACATGTGTCAGGACGACGGCAATGTACGTAACGAGACCTTCAATTGGGCTCGCATGATGAATCGAAGCGATAATGCGGAAATAAAATCAAGGAAGTAAATAGTCACACCATGTAACAAAATGGGAATTTAGGAAACTTGAATCTGGGTGGGAAGGCACAGCTGACTAAGTATTGCTGGCATTGAATTTCATCTGATTACTTTTATCGAAATTGATTTAAATACAAAATATTAAAAGTTTATTTATACAGTACTGATACTAGCTACTGATCCCAACTCCGTAACATCGAACAGACTTAATAATATGGTTTCAATAAAATTTTTATCTATACTCAATTTTCAACCATAAATTGTTTCATATTTTTTATACTATCGCGAAAGGTGAGAGTTGCTATAAAATTCATCCAATTGTCAATGCGTTGTGAAATTGCAGTAGGTCCGCTGAGCAAATAATGTAAATTTTGTTCGTAACTCTGAAGATCTTATCACAGCATAATGAGATCCTGAAATTCACGGCTTGGATATCTGGCGCTCGCATCGGCGAAGTTTTTCTAGGAAAATGTAGGATGTATTGATTTTCTGTATTACTCATACAAGTTTCACTTCAGGTAAGGTAATAACAGTGGAATATTGACCAATGAATCCTTTTTAACACTAACTGCCTTACATCCATACTGAGTCATACAAGGAAGGTACATAACACTCCTCCAAGAATATTCCATAAACATGCTAGTCAAGGAAAACGATATTGATTTTTTTTAATCTTTATCAAATTCCTCTCTTCCAGTGAAGAATTTATAAAACGGACTGCAATTTGTACTCAGTTTATAGAGAAGAATAATCTATTATATACTGAAGCTGCGGCGCTTCTTTGACATGACTTGTAAGATAATAAGCTTTGAATTGAATTTTTACGGAAAAATAATCAGAAAAGAAATGGTCAATCCGTTCTTCGTTGTATAAAATCTCCGTTGGTATCAAATTTGCTAATTATTGTGTTACTGGAATGTTGTTTTTGCGAACATTTAGACTGTCTGTAAAACTCAGCATATAAGGATTTCACCTTCAGAGAAGACATGTACTTTTCAGTATTCATCGATTTATTTATTTAGTAGAATATTTATTTATTTAGGCCGTCGCTGTGAAACACGTCTTACGAAGACTCCGCATTCCGAGAACACATGCACACGTAAGTCTTCGCCATAATAAGGGCAAAATGTTAACACAAATAACAACTATTTGAAGCAAGAGTTAATTGACCTTATTAGTCATCAGAGTCGAAAAACAAATGTTCGAAATATAAAAGTTAAAAGTAAGAGAGACTTAATGATGATATTAATTATTTTACGCAAATATTTAAACATATTTTGTATAGTTTTTAGAGCTTGCTTCAGTGCAAGGAAATCATATAAGTTTTTTCCACAAATCTAACTTCAGTAAAACGTTTCAAAAACTTTCTGTTTGTGGCACTGATACGGAATGTTGCAAGGCCAAACTGGGTCAGAATGACCTATATAAATAAAAAATTGCATCGCTATTTGGACAAGGTTTTGCTTATTGCTCTGAGTGGTCATTACCATAATCCCGATAGTATAAAGCGTTGCGCCTTAGAGAGCATAAATAACTTGTCTCTGTATCGACTGAATTTGTTTAGAGAAGAGGCGTCCTTGTTACCAGGAATACAGAACGATTATTCAGGTTACTCATTACCAAATGATGAAGCGGCACAATTCGTGATTAAGGCCTTTGGGACTTCGAACAAAGCCTTCTGAGATTATACTTGTTCTATCCGCGGGAAACAGTTTTAACGCAAAAAAATCTGGTTTATCAAACAATAATGTAAAATTTCGAATGAAAAAAACAAATTTAAGATATAATAATAGTGCTCGAAATTAAAACACACGATTTGTGAACTAAAAACTCAATATTTTTTTTTCATCTGAGCTGTCTGAATGAGGCAGTTTTGTAGCAGCCTACATCGTATATGGAAATTATCTAAAATATTCATGCGCATCAAGTTATTGAGTTCATATTTTTTAAAATAATGAACCAAAGGCAGGCAAAAAAATTTTCTTCAAATGAGGCAGGTGCAGGAAAAGTTCTATTTACATGGATCACTGCCATGGGAACGAAGCGATATTGAATGACGTTGTTGAACAGCTGCTCGCTCATTGGTCGTTGGGCCATCAGGTAAAGGCTGATCGATCGTAATGTCTGGTCTCGATCGATCCCGCCGGGAATCATGCAGATAAACATGAATTTGAACTGACTTAGGGGGCTGTTCTGGGACTCAAGGACATTTTTAGAACTCTTTTTGGTGTAATTTATTAAGAAAGTTGCAAGGAAAGCCTTTTTGTTCGTGTACATTATATATGTAAGTTCTTGCATGAATCATAACCTAACCTATTATATTGATTTAAAATATTGTAAATGATCAGAATTCAAGCAAAATATTCACATACACTTACAGAGAATACATTTACCCTTCCCACTGTTCAGTTAGCGCGGTATGCCTTGGTTTAATTTTTTGGAATCCACGATGGGTTGTATTTATTGAAACCTGAGTGATGTATCTCAGCCAGCTTGATAATTATAATACTTTGTTATGGAATGAATACCTATTGTGTTTCGAATGGGTAAACATGTTAATCCTAGGATTTTATTCAAGAAACAGCAAGTTCGTTGATGCATTAGGATGTATTGAAAAATGTTAGATATGGTGGTGAGGATGAAAATTTCGAAAAAATTTAGCGAGCAAATTGTTGTAGAGAGGTTTCTGTATAGGACGAATATTTTCATATGACTTTAATAGTGCCTCAATCTTGTCTGCTGTCTTAACACTTTATTTATGACAATCAAAAGTTTATTAATTGCATATATGTCACAAGTAGTATTTTGGAGATTATGGGAATAGAATGTACATAAATGTGCAAGAGAATTTAGAGTTATATATTCTATCATGACAACATTAAGCAGCAGCACAGGAAAAACATAATTTGAAATCTGCTAAATGGTAATCTTTTCTCCGTCAGAAGAGAAAACTTTTGTATTAAAATTTTAATAGATTTGGCTGAACTATTACAGTTAAACGATGTATGTTTGGGCTCGGCTGCTGAGCCGAAAACGACATAAGCCTTACTTCAAATTCGAATTTAATTAGGAGATACTAAACGAGGCTTATAAGTTTCTGCTTGAAATTTGTTTGAGCTGCCCAAGAGTGACTATATAATTGCCATACAAAATACAAAACATTGTTAGCAATTTTTCTAGATAGCTTTGATATTTTTCAAGGCAAGTAGAGCGTTTCGTTCGTGTACATGATATATGCAAGTTCTTGCATGAATCATAACCTAACCTATTATATTGATTTAAAATATTGTAGATGATCTTATGAAAACGCCTAAATTGGTCAACTCTTTAACAGAAAAGGCGTCCGCATTCCTGATGTTTCACCAATTCCGTTAGAATCTTATAAACAAGCAGTAGGATTTAAATAATTGTATGTGATGTACATGAATCAATGAGTTGTAGATAAGTCAAGGGCATCGCAACTAGGCCGCGCTCTAGTGACATTTGCACGAACATCTTCACTGAGAAGATTTCTGGAGAACCGCGAAGGCGGATGATAAAGTTGGAAATGGACGGAAAATTGTTTCAGTCGACAAAAGGTCGAATCATTACGTAATTAGGTGATCAGTTAATTTTCGATGCAGAATTATTTAGCCGAAAATTCAATACTTAAATTCTTCTTTCTTCAGTCTCACGCACAAATAACGGGTATCTTTCCACAGCGTCGTAAAATCTGTAGATCAAATGACGTAGTTAAATGCATTTCGATTCTCTTTGAGCAGTACCGACTAAGTGTGTCGTAATACTACGTCATCTTTAGACGTGAAAATAGTAAAAAAACTTAAATTTAAGGAAAAAATACGTGGTAGTGTTAAGGAATTTAGAGTGGAGGAACTAGTGCGTCGAAATATAAAGAAATTAAAACCTAATGCATGAGCTTGTCCCCCGTAAAATTAAGGAACTAATACGAAAGTAACGAACAAGTTTAAACATTAAGAAGCTATTGTGTCCTAATATTAAGGATATACTACTAATGAACCTGAGTCGAAATGTAAATGAACCGGTGCCTTCAAGGTTTTACATCCAGGAAATGACTAACAAGGTCGGACGCCATGCAAAAATTTCGCAAAATGATTTTGCCATAATATCCAATTCGCTATCACATTATTACTTTATGTGAAAACGATAATTTTTTAACAGGAATCCCTGGACGTGAGAAGAGCAGCCCGACTCTTCAGAAACGAATCTCAGAGCTTACCAAACACAACTTCAGATCCAACAGAAGAATTTAAACCAAATTTTGATGAAGAGAACCCGCCCCCCGGCACCGCTTCGTTTTTCCACACCCCACACTCCGCGTGCAGCGGGGAGTCGTCGGACTCGGGGATTTCAGATCCTGGGGAAGAATATGCTTTTGTTATTACAGAAAATTCCCCACCTGAAGTCGTGAAGAAAGTCGAAGAAGCATTCATTCCCGTAGAGAACTTAAGTGAGTTTAAATTATTGTTAGAACTTTATGTTACGTTACGGTAATTTAATAAACTGAAAGGTAATTCTCAGCTCTAGAACCTAAGGAAGTGATCTTTTCCGAGAAGATAATTCATATGTAAGCTTGGTTCATATTTTCTGAGTCGATGAATACTTCTCTTACCGAAAAATTATTATTGAATTTAATGAAATGTTAAAAAAACTAAATTTCATACGATTTCCAAAACTTGCTGAAGGCCATCAAGGAAAGACCTGAGTCATACTCCATTAAAATTGAAAAAATGTGTTAAATATTCAGATTTAAATAACATTATCTGAATTAGTAACATCTTAGTTTAATCAATCTTTTTCGTGAAAGTTCAAAAAACATTCGGTTCCCTTTACATCAATCCCAAACAAATATAGAGCAATCCCTATTATTTAGCTCGCTCTAAAACTTATACCCGTACTGAAATAACATAAATATTTGTATGTGCACAGACCTGATAATTACTGGCAAGGCCTGTCCTCGTCTACTGAGCGGCTACCAACAAACCAGGGTGGAGGAGGCCGCCATCTTGGAGAGTCTGCGTCAGGAAGGCTTCATCGCCACCAGCAAGAGCAAGTCTGCTGGTGGCATATCTTTTGAGGTATTCTAGTGTTCCCTTAATAAACATATTCCTTAGTATCTGCGGTTAGTTTCCCAGTTTAGTTTAATATGCCTCCCGGGTAGGGTAACATGGGGCAGCGAGCCCACTGCGGGTCATGGGCCCATAGCGGGTTTCTCGCTAAGTATGGCAGATATTGGTCCATGTTCTCTACCGCCGGTCGACAGTTTCACTGGGATGAAGTGTACGGATTTACGTTTTCCTAAGTGTTTGTGTTATTAAGTTATTTGTGAATAACTGTTTCAGCCCAGATAAAATTGTTTTGCTGCTAAATAAAATTGTTTTCGATTACGGTAGATGAAGCTTTTGAAATTACTGTGAATTATATTTTGGAAGCAATATTTATAGGGATAATTTTGAGATCAAGTTAGACTATTAGCTTTTAAAATAAAATGTTGACACGATATAAATTGAAATGATACCTAGTGGGGCAACGGGTCCACGCGTGTCACGGGGCAAAGCGCCCATGGTGAAGTCTTGTGTTATACATCATTAGATTTGTCTCAATGACCTTTTCAAAACTATGACTAGCTTTTTGAATTACAAATAAGGCTTGTCCTCGTCTGCTGAGCGGCTACCAACAAACCAGAGTGGAGGAGGCCGCCATCTTGGAGAGTCTGCGTCAGGAAGGCTTCATCGCTACCAGCAAGAACAAGTCTGCTGGGGGCATATCTTTTGAGGTATTCTAGTGTTCTCTTAATAAACATTATAACATATTCCTTAGTATCTGATATTAGTTTCCTCGCCACCAGCAGGAGCGTCTGCTGGTGGCATATCTTTTGAGGTATTCTAGTGTTCTATTAATAACCCTATCAAAATTTAGAGTCGCCCCAGCTTCTGGTAATCCAAATCAGAAGCTGCCGCGTCTGTAAATTTTCACTGTGAAACATATTCCCTAGTATCTGAGGTTAGTTTCCTAGTTTTCGTTTAATATGCCTCCTGGGTATATTTTCTCTGTTGCTTTGAAAAATTGTTTTGAAAAATGTTTCGAGAGAAAATTATTTGAAATTCGTCTTTTTAGAAAACTCTTCCCTACTATTTGTGAGAAGATTGTTCCTTAGTGTTATTTGGACAACCTTTTTCCTATGTTATCGAGAACAAATTCTGTAGTATCATTTTGATGAACTTGTTACTTACTTTAATTTAATTTGAGAATCGTGGCACTATATTCAGAATGTCATATATTCATTCGATAATTCCGATGCATTTCTTCTGTGTATTCAGTTTTATTTTATCTTCTTTTACATCTTATTCTATCTTCTTATTCCTTTTTTTCAATTTTATTCTATCTTCTTATTAATCTTATTATCGTATTCTATATGTTACTTACTTATTCATCGTATTCTATACGTTATTTACTTATTCATCTTATTATCGTATTCTATATGTTATTTTTAGTATTTTTGACTATTGCACACATGACAGGTGGTAGAGGCCGCCCCCGGGACGGTGAGCGTTGGGAGCATCAAGCCGGAGAACCTGGTGCCTATTCCGGCCGTGCGGAAGATGGAGGCCCGGCGCGCCAGATTCGGTCCGGGCGACCGCACGCAGGAGGAGCTTGAAGAGCGATGGTCCGGCGCCGAGCAGCGGCGCCAGGTACGGGATTTAAGGATTTAAACAAGAACGTTTAAATGTTAGATATATAAATGAACAAAAAATAGTATTTATAAGAAAATAAATTTGCGTGAATGGAAAAATCAATTTGGGATGAATGGTGTGAGCATGTGAAAAGGCACTCAATGTGTCAAGAGGCACTCAATTAATATTTGAAATTGACCCTTCTAATTGCGTACCCGCAATTCATCCCATAATATATACTGAAAAACTAAATTAAAATGACAAATTTCTTATAATATTATTAGTTATCCATCTTATTCATTGCTCTACTTTGAAATATGCGCCTTTATGGCCTATTTATCTTGCAGGCTGCATGCACATGTTCCCGTTAGCCATGCAATGATACGTCAGAAAATTTTCATCGGATGAATAACGAAAATATTAATGTAATTGTAACAGGCTGAGCTGGACGCACGTAAGGAGAAAATGGCAGAGTTGATAAGGAAAACTGAGGGCGAGAAAGAAAAAATGGAACAGCTAGCCAAGCGCCATGAGACCAAGACAGAAACAGCGATAGCCAACAGGTGAGTTAAAGAGAATTAAACTAACCTAAAAATCATGTTTACGATATGGTAATTGAAAAGCGAAAAAGTAATAAAATTAAGTAATTATATTTGTCTTAGCTTAGTATAGCATAGTGATGTCGGCGCTGAAGAATAGGCCTGATGTGGACTGTCGCAGATTTTAGTACTTTTCGCGACTTTTCCTCCCGTGGATATCACGGGAGGAACGGATGAGTTACGACGACCACCATTGAAGTTCAGGTTTATGGATAATGTTTGGTAAAACCTCTTGTTTAGTCCCATCACTGACAGATAGAACAATGCAAACGGAATCTAAAACTGCTTTCGTCCCGAACGAATGCACTTCATCCTAATAAAGTAGACGATTCTTAGTGTTAAAATATAACACAAAATGTTTAGATATGACAGATTATTGTATTACTTACTACAGGGAAGTGCACCTAAAGGAGCTTCGTGACAAGCTCAAGGCCAAGAACCAACACGCCCAGCACGTCAAGCTCAAAAAACTCATCAACGGCCCCCCGGTACCCGTTCCCCTGGTGCGGACCGTCTCGGACTACGGGCCAGACCGAGTCATAAGTAACGTCGACCTTTTCTTTAAGTGAACACCGCTATGAAATTTATCGGGAATACCTGAAGGCTCAATTTATTTTTTAAGAACGATAATGAGCTATAATTGTGTCAGGGTCATAGTTAGATACGAAGATCTCATTTATTAAGTGCGTAGTAGTAATCGGTTCATTGCAAGCATGTGTAACATGCACTCCCGCACTTGGTACCTCTGAATAACGCCCGAGGAAGTTTAAACAAAAGGAAAAACAAGCAGAATTGCGGACAGGAGATTGTTTTGGTCCACAAATAATGTAATGTGTTCCATGATTCGAGTGGTGCAGTAAAATTGAATTTAGACTGAGCTGACGAAACCGCCAGACCTTCCATCTTTATCTCGATCCTAAATTAGGAATAATTTTGCAAAGTGGGAAGTGGAACTTGAAAAACCAAGGAAGTGAAACTTGCCAAGTAGGACGTGAGGGTTCAGACCATATTTTCCATGGTTGAACTATACAAGGCTGACCCTCGAGGATTTCCGCGTTTCAGTTCAGCTTTCACTGAGATCGTGAAACGTGAACAATCCCATCATTCTCACGACGGATTGGTAGACTGGTTTGATCGCCTTTCGGTGATTGGTTAATGCCCTTAACGTCACTGAGATCAGTGACGTCACATGCGAACAACAAACTCCATCCGCGAAAATGAGCTTCTCATGCATATGGTTGAACTAGTACCATGTTCTCATGGGTCAACCTTATTCTAGTTTAACCATGATATTTTCAACCCAATAAAATTCTGTAATTAGTGCCCAAACAACCCTATATCATTTCAAGGCGGAGCGCACTGTATTGTGCATAAGAAGAGTTAATACCTGCATTAACTTTGTCGCACAGCTTACCATGGGAAGCCTCAATAACTGTACATACTATATATACCTCAGGCACTCTAGAACCAACAGGATGCGTAAAATGCCGAGGTCCGACGAAGATGGCAATAAGTAAAGGGAAGGTTCCAATTGTGAACAGCGTGATTTTCAAATTATATGTTATCAATTTAGTGATCGTCTTCATTAAATTTTCTAGATATGCTAGGTGTGTAAAACGCTTACTGTAAAACCATGCACTCTTCCAAATAAAAATGATACAAGTGTTCTAGCTTCCTGGCCGGTATTACAACGTAGCAAGTACTTTGGACGTATCAATTTATCAACATTCCATATACACAGTTCATGTCTACTCATTACCATTCATTGAATTCATCTGAGGTTACACGGCATAACAAAATTCAATCACAAGTGAAATCATCTTGAAACATTTCATTTGCGATGCATCGCACAGCCTGGACATTCTCTTGTAATAATCCGAGTAATGTCGACGGCAAGTTGAAATAGACAATAGAAGTTCATCGAATAAATTTTAGGGTACATAAGAACTCTTATTAGGGTAAATATGAGCTGAAAGGATGTGAAAAAACTTGTACCATTAAAATATAATCAAATAATCATTAATTAAGATACATGTTTAAAGCACCGCGACCACAGCCATGTCTGTCAATACAGAGTGCATAAACACGCGCCCACGCATTCATAAGATCTGAAATTGAAGTGAAAAATGTTGGAAACATTTATGGATATTTATTTAAAACGAAATGATAAAAATAGCGATCGGTATAGGAGTAAAAGAGGCACTAATTCTTCGTCTTTGTGACACAAAACTTTTGAAATTTATCTTTAAGAACATAAAATTGCGCTTGAGACACAAATAAACTTAAAAAATGCGAGAGATGCGTACTAAGTAGATAGCGATACAAAATATTTCATTGATTTTGTACCGGGACAAGAAGGAATGAAGAACACCCGTTATAAAAGCAAACAATGCCAAATGTGCACATGAAGTTGAAAAGAGACGCGAAGTAATGTTACAAATCGTATTATACAGGGTTCGTACCGGTATTTAGAAAAAAAAATTTCATGACTTTTCCATGACTCTCCATGACCGTCAATATAATTTTCCAAGACTTGACTACTTGACAAGACTACTTCCATACGACAGGTTTAGCATGACTGAAAGACTAACCAAGCATATTCCATCATCTACAGTTGATAAATAGCAAACGTGTAAATGCATAGAACAAGGCAGGCACAGAGGAACAAAAATGACTAATCTGAAAATCAAGCCCACACTGGTATTATAATGAATTTAATAGTGTCAAATCGTAACAAATATTGAGTAATGCACACAAGGTTGTACATGATAATGTCAATACAGATCAGAACACGATTCAACACCACTACCCTAACATTTTCTGTATATTCATCTGCTGCTTGCTCAAGCGCTTTGCTGCTCTCCTCCGCACGCCTTTTCTTCTTCTTCAGTTCATCTAGCTCATCCAACAGGGCCTTCCTCTTCTGGGTTTTTTGGGCCTTCGCATTCTGCTCTTTCTCTTCTGCCTAATAATTATTGAAGGCTGTTTTGGCCCTGCCAGCTGCAAGCAGCATCTTCTTGGTGATGGTCATCTTGTCCAGGCCACCAACATGTGCAACATGATCAACCACAGCACGCAGGGCAACCACCGATCGCTCTTTCATGTTGTGTGTCATGATTTTCTTGTTGAACGAAAACCCTCTTTCAACCATTCTTTGGATGGAACGAACCAGAAGATGGAACGCTGCCACTGCACATCAAAAAGTTGTCGAATGCAACTGAGCTTGCTGACCGAGCTCACGTGATTGAAGAACCAATCAGAACGCAGGAAACAAGAGACTGCACAAACAGTAAACACACGCAGCACAGAAAAACGCTTCATTTTTTCTTCTTTTATTTGCAAATTCCATGACTTTCCATAACCTGAAACGAAATCCAATGACTTTCCTGGACTGGAAAATGAAAAATAAAATTCCAATGTCTTTCCAGGTTTTCCATGCCCGGTACGAACCCTGCGTATTAAATGCCGAGGACGCGTCTCTATTCAGCACAAGAAAATTAATGGCAAAACCGTGTTAATTCAATTCATGCCTTGACACGATGGTTGAACGATTGCATAAATGCCAACAAATTAACTATTATGAATCGTCTTGAAATTTAGTGTAGGAGAGGAAGGAACATAAGGCAATCACTAACGCATAATCACAGACATTAAGTTTATAGGAAACAAGAGAACAGCTCTTGTAGCAGGGGGAATTAGGAAGCATATCTCGAAAGGCCTTAACAACTAATTGTATTTAACAGGAAGCCAGTATCAAGGTAATCAGTTAAGCTAGAATTAGCATAACTAGGTAATTATTAGTTATGATAATTCAAGAATTTGTAACGAAAATAAATGGATATTTTCGGTTTAGCTTTTTGGTGATCGGTTTTAAAATTTTGTTTGAACTACGACAAACACGTTCTTCAGTGACGGGACGGTGAGAATTTTATTGAGGCGAAGATTCAGAAAGCAAACTTGTAAAACCATGACTAATTCACCAGTGAATAATAAAATAAAATTCCGTAGCTTTTGCAATGCTGAGGCCATTAGGACTAAAAAATTTCGATAAATGGAAGACAACGAAACTCACAAACAGAAATTTATGCTTTCAGAGTGCGCCTAAACTTCATACCTTCAAGATAAGTAGGACATCAGTTAAGCTACTGAGCAAGTTTGTACGATGTAAATGTAAACACTGGAATAGACTGAATTGAATGAAAATTAACGAGGCAGTTCTGTTGTTCATAAATACTGAAACTTATCACAAAAACGTTCAGAAAGTGTAATAAAATTTAACGAATCCCTCGGGTTAGAAGCTAACTATAGCAATCACTCGAGAATTCTAGCATCAAATTACATAACATATACCTTCTACGACCGCGTTTTCAACATGAATCGAGATATTTGTCAGGAAATTTGACTTGAATCACAACCAATAACTTTGGTCATCCTGCAAACATCAGGGAAGATAATTCAAAGCAGGAAGGGATTGTGGTGACGACATACCGTAACGATGAAATAAGGATTACTGATCGAAAAATGAATGATTAAGCACAAAAATCGACAATATCAAGATGAAATTGGGTCGCATTTTCATAACCACGTCATTGAATACACATTAAAGACACGATTAAAATATTTTTAATAATGTTTCAAAAGCGTCATTATTGTTCCACTAAAAACAGGTAAAATACATGATAGTTGCTTACTTTATGTATCTGATTGAATACATGTCTTATAATTTACAGGAACCATTACCAGTGTATTTAAATTAATAAAGGGCGAAAATAATTTGGATCATTAAAGTTATGAGTTATAATTAGGTTGAGGTCGTTAATTAACCATCTAGTTACCTCCATAACAAGATGAGGAATTGCACCTAATGCTTAATGACACGCGGCACAAGTGTGGCTAGAAGTTGAGTGGGCACTTACGAGCACACGTAAGGTAAGAGATGTCGCTGGAGAATATAGCGGTATGACGGTATCACAGCATGTAAAAGAAATAACGTTAGAACTCAGTATCAAGTAGCACAAGTTGCCAAGCTGATAACAAAGATGTGGATTAGCGGCATGAGAACGAGATGACAGCACTGGTACACCAGCTTTGGCATATACACAGACCAGATAAATATGTGGTCCCTCTGAACTAGAACGTTTAGAACACAGGCACAAACAGTCAGCAGTCTGAGGTGCCACCAGGTCAACATGGCGGTCGATGCAGCAGGCCACCAGCCGAAGCCCATGGTGCGTTGCCAGGGACTTCTGTCGCAGGCGTTGTCTGTGCCATTCATTTCATTGGTGCTGATTCTCTCTTGCAGGTACCTAGATAGGGTTGAATTATTAATTTAAATGTGCGAAGTGGTACAAATTGCCCGGCGGATAAAGGACTTTGCGTATGTATTGGGCGGGTCTAATCTACTTTTAGCGACACGAGGCTCAGGTAGGGTTCAGTACCGCATAATGTCCTTGCTATGTTCAAGTACCTGATCAATGATAAGCAACTTATGTGGAACCGTCTCGATACATCAATCGGGATCGGTTGGTAAAATTCAACTCAAATGGATATGCGTGCAAAATGATCATACCCGAGCGCTTTCTCAGTAAGTTACTGGAAGTGATCATAACAGCAGTAATCTCTAACAGACATTTCTTCTGTTAATACATTTAGCGCAATAGCGGCTGCGATAGTTCATAGCCCGTAGTTCGCGATTCATATTTCACCGGCCTTCACATCACGGGTTAAGAACCTTAAATTGAGAACTTTAAAAAATATAACGAAAGAAAAAGAAAGTTGCCTGAAATAAAGGTAGAAGAAGAGGTAGGTTAACGATAGGTAGTTATTTAGTCGCAACGTTTCAAGTGAGGGATAAATGGTGTCAGTAACAAAGGGACAATATTAATGAGCAGGGCGAGAAAAGAGGTGGAAAAGGAAAAAAAATCATCAAAGGGAGGAAAAAATGTAATAATATATAGGTATACTACCTGAGTAAGGTAAGAAGAGGCGCTCCAAACGTGTGGAGGAGGATGAGTGAGGCGTGGACGTAGGCGTGGTAGGAGTTAACGCCTGTGAACCCCGCCGCCACCTTAATGCTGGACAGGCTGTTGTTGTTCCCCTGCAACGACAACAACGTCAACTCGAGTACCTTTAGAACTTATTCGATTTGCACAATTGTATGGAATACAATTGTGCGTCGAATTGTACTTGGAGACTTCAGAAGAGCGTGTAGCAAAATAAAAAAATTCTTCGATGGTCCAAATGAGTAGCAGCGTGTAAAACGCCCCGATAAATGGATAGAGACAGAAATAATAACAGGAAAGCTTTGAGGGAATTCATGAAAGAGTCACTGTTATTTCTGTGAGAATTTCAACATGACTACAATATATGTGTGCGGAAAACAGAAATGACAAAACCAGCCATCGAATCAGACGCCACCCACGCACCTGAGAGAAGAAGAAAGCATCGGCGGTCCATAGCATGACCAGCGCCGCGTGCGAGGGCGGCATCGATGGATACAGACGACGATTGAGGCTCCACCTGCCCACGTAGGTGGTGAGCTGGTGCAGGCTGGACGAGCTCAGACTCGCCTGTATCATCAGCAGGCAACACAAGGGCACGTTGCTGCGCTCCTGCAGCAGCAGCCACACCAGTGTCAGCGAGCACCGCGCGTACCGCAGCAGCTGCGAGATACGTGGAGTTAGAAAAGTGCATGTGAGGGAGGGAAATAAGGAAGTGTAATGGAAGGAGAGTTGGGATGTGTGAGAGAGGTCTTTAGGTTAGATTTGGGAACATGCACATTGGGGCGTGTTGGGGATATGTAAGATAGGACATTTTTAAATTCAACGAATTGACACGTGAGTATAATGACGAATGTTATAGAAGTGGCAAAAAGTAGACAATTTAGTGCCTCACGGCAGTTTGTTGTAACTGAAACGTAGCGGATACGTTTATTGGTATTTGGATGAAAATTTCAGGATAAAGGAAATAATTCAACCAATAATAATTATACTTAGAATTTTTAACTAGTGTAAAAAACCGGTTTGCCTAGAAACAAAATGTTGCAACAGATTTCAATAATGGAAATTGAGTTGAAGGCAAGATTAGATTAAAAAATATCATCATCAATCTTAAATAAAAAATGTAAGCAGTGACGTGTTACCTGGGGCAGCAGATACGACGTCGAATTGTACTTTTGTACGACGAAACGAAAGTTTTCTTCTTTCATGATACTGCCAGTTAACTTGGAATGCTTCCAATTGTTTTTGTTGTCGACACCCAGAGCGGGGAGACGGCCATCTTGGCACTGCTCACCGTCGGCGTAAAGAGTCCTCACTTGGGAGCTTGGTGGCAGCCCCAGCAGCAGCACAGCACACCTACGCAGACGGTAGCCTGGGTGCTTCCTCCTGAAGATGAACTGCAGGAGGAAGATGCGCGCTACGCCGTACGCGAGGAGGGCTAGCGACGACCCGTAAATAACCACCGGTGCCAGTTCTCTGTCAGTCAAAAGGATTGCGAGTGGTAATACTTTACAATTAAGGGATTTGGAGCATTTAAGCGTTACAATTTATTTCGTCTGGAAAAATGGAGGATAACACGTTGGCTCCGAAGTGGCACAAATGCGTACTACGAAGTGTATTTCTCCAGGACGTAGTGGTACATAATTCAGGGTTGCCAGATGGTATAAAAAACGACCAAGCCCGCAAACAAAAAAGGTCTATAACTTATATATAATAGTATATTCTTAGGTTCCGGTGTAAAATTCCTTTTCTTTTCTTTTAGGTTTTTTTAAATTTAAGCAGAAAGTAACCCTATCATAAATTTTAGCCGGCTAACACAATTAAAAAAAAAACGAAATCGCGGAATTTGCCCGGAAAAAAAAACGTCTGGCAACCCTCATTCGAAATAGTACAAAAAATGAAATAATAGTACAAGATGAATCAATCAGAGTCAACGTAATAAAGAATGGAGAAGAAAAAGTTTTTGGATATACAAATTTTTTTGTGTGAAGAATAAGTTCCTTTTGAAAATTAGTTTCTAGCAGCAAAATGTCCATTTAACTCGCTGGATATAATAAATAATTTAAACAGCTGGATCCTATAAAAGATTGATTTAATATTCATGGTATCCGCAATTGATCTTTACACTCACTTGCCGTAATCGTCAGGCCCGAAGGGGAAGTGATACGAGAGGATATGCAGGAGCCCCAACATGTAGGCAGGAAGACACACGACGTCGCAAAGCACGAGCAAGGCCAGCCCCACCATGTGACAAGCTGCTTGCGACACCAAAGAAAACGTCGTAAAATATTCCGCTGTGTCGGGCAAGTGGCGCCACTTGTCACCTGATGAGTTCCAGGTTCTTATAACTCTGAATAATATAAGGCTCAACAACAACCCTAGACTAGCACGAGCGTAGCAACTGAAACGCATCTGCTGGTAAATCTCGGACTTTTTTCTTATAGTACGAGCCGCGGCGGTGGTGAGGGCTCCGGCGAGATTAAAGTCAGCGGTTTCGACTTGTGAGTCAAGATTTGAAGTGACAAGTGAGCTGTGGCCGTACAAATGGTCATATGAGCCGCGCAGTCTGACGAACTGCTCATCTCTTTGTAGTTGCATCGCGTCGTATGGGTCACGAGGAGCTTCATTGTCATCAGTGAACTCCGACGATGTAGAAGTGAATAAATTCACCACGGCCTGATGGAAGCAAGTGAATTTTAGAAATGCATCCTGCAGAAGATATCTGTACAAGAATTTGATCTTATCACAGCGCAAAGAGTATATAAATTCATTTTAATTAAATTTCAAGTGATAACGTACATTTTATGATGAAGAAAAAAATTGAAAAGCAAGACGGGAAACAACGAAGCTGCGTTTTTCTCATTAACAGAAAATAGAATTTAAGGCATGAGAAAGAATCCTAATGTATTTGGAGGAATAAATTTTATAAAGTTGAGAGAAACATTTACCTGTTGTCCCCCAAAGGTGATAAAACAACATCTGACGCAGCATAGCAGCACCACGAGGAGAGCCGACGTCAGGAAGAAATAGAAAGTTTGATGTTCCTCCTCAACAAAACTTGATCCGAAAAGGCTGAGGGTGTGGGCCACTACACCCACCACCAGCACCACAGACGCCAGCTTGAACGGCGTGGCACTGGTCTCAGGCTTACAAGCCGCCTGCAAAATAATGTGATGTTTTATTTTCCTCATGTATTTACATCATGGGCGCTGAATAATGTCGCTCATCAGAAAAACCGAGTGGACACAGTCGTCTTTTGCGGAAATAACTGCAAGAATTTTGGCATAAATTAAAAATGAACTAATATCAAATAATTTGGCAGATCCGGTCATTGCGTTCTACCTAATAGCATTGTATTATTTTGGAATTTTGCGAGAGTTTGATGCTATTTTATGTAATAGGACATTTTGAAGCTTACGTTCACGGTGTTCAACTCTGCTTGTCCACAACACTGTGAAAAAATGCACGTCATGGCCCAAACGCATGAAAACTACCAATGCCATGATGTAGGTTTTTCCATGTTTATTGTGGAACCGAATAGATAAATTAATCATGTCTTTAGTCCCATCTTGAGCGTAAAGATTAAATATTTAAACACTTGACTACTTTTATTCTAAAAAGATTCTCGAAAGACTCAAGATTATTAATCAGTTCTCAAAAACGACCCCATTGAAAGCAAGGGTGTCATTATAATAGAATATGAGTGAAGAATAAGAACCGAACTCATCCATAGAGAATAAGAACTTATCTATAGTACCTTTCCGGCCTTGAAGGTAGTCACGGTAGTTCTGAAGAGCAGCATGGAATAGATAGCAGGTGGCAGCAGCAGCCACGTCACGCTCGAACGAGCATCACAAATGCTGGTGCTGTCTCGTCCAGTCAGCATACCGCACATGAGACTCCACAGCACCAGCACGACGCCTGCACAGCACGCCACGGTGCCTAGCGTGGCTTCCTTCACTGCTGACGTCGACAGGCCGGACAGGAGCAGCAGCATGCGGCTCGAAACAAACTGGAAGAGATGATATATCTTGTTACATTCAAGTCCACATTTGAAAGTCCAAGGGCCTTTTTCTTTGAAAGTCTAGATAAAAAATGAAGTAATTATGGAGGAATTTTTGCAAAGTCGCCAAGGAAATGACATGCATGACACCAATAGGCTTTAAAAAGCTTCCCATCATCGCATGAGGACAAAGCATTATCAATAATAAAACATTTCTTCTTAATAATTTCAGTAGACAAAGATTAACCACGGTTATTGGAATTATTGTCAATTATTTATTGACGAAGACTAACCACGGTTATTGGAATTATTGTCAATTATTTATTGACGAAGACTAACCAGGAACAGGACGACAGCGCTGGCCGCCAGCACAGGCAGGTCATAAGTCTTCATCTTATTGACGAGAATATCAGAGGCTTTCCTGCAGGTCTTCTCGTAGAGCGCCACAATCTGCATGAGTCGACCGTGGGCCATCACGCCGCTGTCCCGCACCCTGCCTGCCTGGGGGCCCACGCAGCTCTTGGTCCTGTTGTCTGTAGCAAATATTTCTTCAGTGAAATGTTTAAGGTTGTTTCATCGGGAAGCTCAGCTGATATCAGCAAGCTCAGCTAACATAAGCACGCTCAACAAATATCAGTGAACTTGAATTATTTATAAGTAAACTTGACCAATGTCATAGTATAGTATCTTCGGCATTAAAGAATAGGCCTGGATAGGCCTGTCGCCGATTCTTGTACTTTTCTTGACTAGACTGGCCTTACGGACGGTAGATTTAAAATCCTTCTAGATATCAGTTGTTCCGTAGGGTACGAGGCATTTTAAGACTAAACATATGCTCCTGCATGGCCTTGTCTAGTCTGTTCTTGAACGCGTCCATACTCGGAGCGTCAACAATATCTTCAGGGAGGCTGTTCCACATGTCAGTGACTCGAAGCGAAAAGAAATGTTGTCGCGTGGATAAGTTGAACCGCAGTTTTTTTAGTTTATAGCTGTGGCCCCTGGTGTTGGTTCTTGTTTCAAATTCTCATGTCATGAATTTCAACAGTCATTTTCTCAGTCATGAAATTCAACAAATAGAATTGAATTCAATAATGAATCAACAAAACAGGTCTCTCCTTTTATGTCATCAAATGTTCAGTCATAATTGCAGAATAAGCATTTGATAAAGAATGCGTACAAACACTGATCAGAATTCATTGGATGATCAACACTTTCANATTGCAAAACAGGCATTTGATAAAGAATGCGTACAAACACTGACCAGAATTCATTGGATGATCAACACTTTCATGCATTCCACTGAAGTCATAGCCTATACAAGATATTGTTTAAAAGAATAATTTAATTTATGTATGTATTATTTTAGAAAACACACCTAGCAAAGTGAAATGGATTGGCTATGAATGCATTGTTACCAGGAAGGTCGTCAAGCGTATGCAGTGCCACATTGAAGAATATTTACATTAATACATGCATTTTTGTAGTGAACATCTCCAAGAAACTGTAGGGAGGAGATATAACTGCATTCCGTTCTCTGTAAGTTCATCAGGCTTTTGCCATATTCTTATTATTATTCTATTCTTATTAATTATTTCATATAATAATATTCTATTCTTATTAATTCTAATTCTTATAATCATGGTTTTTGTAAACACGCTTTAAGAACTGAAGTAAAGCTACGAATAGGATGTTACCGGCAAGCTCATCAGCCGTTTGCTGCGCCGCCCTATTCTCCAGGTCCAGCAGGAAATCGTAGTTCTGTGCCTCTAGCCACTCAGCTTCCACCATCAGAGCCGAGGCGTCTCCTTAACAAAATACAAACGGCAATAAATAATCAAATTAGTAGGAATACATTTTTATAAAGGAAGTGGTAAAATAATCGATTGGCTTAATGTAAACAAAATTGTCAGAACTAAGTTATAACTTTCCTTTTAGAATAAAATAGAATTCACTTATTATGATACATAGAACACGAAAATAGTCATGAACAATCATATTCAAATCGAACTTCATATTACGGGAGTATCTTATCATTACGAATTATCACTATCAAAGCTTCCTAGACTTAATAAAGTCAACAATATTTTTCCAAGCTTAGGTTGGCTTATTAAGTTGACTTAATAAAGTCAACAATATTGGAATATTTTTCAATATTCCAATAACGGAATATGAAAAGATTATTTCAATATTCCAATAATACAATATGATAAGATTATTTCAATATTCCAGTAATGCAATATGAAAAGAACCCCTTGCTTTAAACAATGTACATTAATTAGTGCTCAAGATTCAAGGAAAATGAAAGTAAGTTTCTCCCCACAGCACAAGTATCTGACCAGCAGGTAAGGAAGCAGCCTCCAGTATGTGGAGGAGTCGCTTAGCCTCGGACTTGTAGAGCTGCAGGAGGTCATAGGCGTCCACGAGAGGGCTCAGGAGGGACAACAGGGGCACCCCCACGCTGCTGGCGGGCACCGACACGCCGCTTAGTACTGCCAGGGTGCTTGACAGGTCTACTTGGCGGATCATCAGTTGTTCTCTTGACCTGCAGCCAAGAAATGGACTCGATGCATTAGTATCGTGACATTGTTTGCCAAATAGCGTTATGAAATTCATGTGAATTGGAAGTAATAGTACGATTCTATTCACGTAATCCAAAAGTGCAAAATGAAGCGTGTTTCTAAACCTGTTTGCTATTGTGCAAGCCATCTAGACAAAAGCTATCGTTAAGATTAGGTTTATCTCTGATCCTGAGAGATTCTAAACCTTAATGCAACATGCAGGAAAAGCTAAGGGGAGAACAGGAGAATTACAGATAATATTAATAATCACCTACACTAAGAATTAAACGATCGTAATTTCAGTAAAAAGAGTATTAGTAACCGGCACTAAAAATGCTGGACACTTCTTTTAGGAATAGGTATACCTACAGTACAGTAAAACGGTTTGGCGGTATGAAGACAGAGATGAAGAAAAATATTCTATGAACAAACACGTTCTCTACATGGCAACTAATAAAGGCCAAAAAAATGAATGCAACAATAAGATTAAATAATAACTTAGAGGAAGTTAGTGGGCTAACGAAATGAGGTTGCCTGTAGGGAAATATAACGCGGTAGGCTCGACAAGCGAGTCAGTCTCGACACAGAAAGGAAAGAGCGAGGCCATGGATGTTGGAATCCAATGAGCAGTACGCAGTAGAGCGATGCAATAACAAACTGTCTCGAGACGATTTCGTAATGGACTGAGGTTTGCCATAAAAGAGAGAAGCCCGACGTGAATTATTGAGCATTTTTATATTAATACAAATATTCTTTGGGAAAACAGCCCATAACATTCATATACCAAAACACTCACACAATTTATGTTTCCTTTAACAACACCAGTGCAACAACGCATACGCCCAAGGTCACTCATGTTTAAATTAGAACCGAGGACGTATATATAAAGGGAACACGTCAGCTAACTAGTGCTACTCCCTGACATTACTCATAACACAAGTCCCGTTGCAGTAATTTATGGTTGCTGTGTCTATAATTTTCAATACAGGGTTTTTATATCTTTCTTGTATTTCATTCACACCCTTGATTTATATCCACTCACTGCCGTTATGACCACGAGAACTTTGCAAGTCTTCTAAAGCATTTGACGCCATACTGATGCAAACCGGACCAAGTATAAGTAATGGTCAAAATGCAAGGTTCAACTATTCGATAGAAATAATAGTATATTTAAGCATTACTATTAAACAGCGTTTCCAAATGTTTAGAAGATACAAAAAAAAATTCTTAGATAAATAAGCTTCAGTAACTACCATAATATCAAATGAGACTCTCACAACTCTTACTTCCTACTCTCAACACGCGGACCCATGAAGACAGCAGCCGTATGAAGTTCTTCATAACTGCTGCCGCCGTGTCCGCCTTCATCCAGCATGCCGTGGTCACCGCACACCAGGATCAGGTAGTTGCAGCCCTACAATCATCAACTAATATTTAATATGAATTTTTGATAGTGACAGTGACACACTATAATAGATTCATCGAAGACAAAGAAGCTTGGATATGAAAATAAGGTATATAAAATTTACCGAGGCTTCAAGTCTGAGATTGGCGGCACGAACAACGTTGCTCATTTGCGTGAGCTTGTCGTCAATGAGGCGATGCTTGGAGCCATGGGAGTGGCCGATGTGATCCAGACCCAAGTAGTGCAGGATGGCCACGTCCCAAGAGGCGAGCTCTTCTGATCCTGTGGTAGGGAGAACTTAAATAAACTCTACAGTTGTCTGAACTCAACAGATACCTGTATTGCTCTATAAAGTATAGAACTAAGATAGATCAATTCCAAGAGAACGAAGAACATGAATTGCTTTGGACACTAAGATGAAAATGCTGTTTCAGAAGCTGAGTATCTAACACCATAATTAAAATAGAAGGAAGAAATAATGCTGGACTGTGAATTTACATTTGAGTTTGATCAAGATCAGACTGATAATGATATAAACATTCAAAAATGTCACTCAGATATGTTATGGAATATTTGATTGGTAAGTAACCAGTACAGAATTACATCTCACCGTTGAAGAGACTTCGTAAATGACGTGAGACGTTCCGATCAACCTGTTCAAGGGAAGAAATATTGAAAAACCATTCAGATTTTCAGATCAATTAATAATAAAATATATTTTTTCCTTGTCTACGGACAAATAAAAATTTTGCTTTGAATCTGGTAAACTAAAAAAAAAATAAAAATTAAACAGCTTGCATTCAACATTAAAACCTAATTTGCTCAATTACAAATGTACATTTTGAACCCTGACTGTGTAGTACTTTATTCAACAAATAACATTGAAAGTATAGCACTCTAGAAAAAAATCTAGATCAAAAGGATAGTATGGTACTTTAGGTTAACAAAATTATTTTAAAAGTAATTGTTAAAGTTTCACCTTGCAAATACCAATACAAGATTGCCCCCATTTTGATTGTTCATACTTTGAGAGACAAGAACTTGGAGATACATGATACAACTAGAATAATTACTATATAGAATAAGAATAATTTTTACCTCAGTATAATCAGAGACAAAAAATGAAGACACAGGATCAGCAAATACAAAGTGACCAGGAAACATGGCAGACCAGGTGTCATCTCCAAAAAACCTGAAGAATTCAGAACCAATTCAAATAACAAAGTTCAGTGATATAGCAACAAAAGTTTGGCAAGAAAATAATAAACGTACTAATAACACACATGACAAACAATCAGATGCATTTCTTAAGATCTAGAAGAATTTCAATTGATAAAATACTAGTGAATTCACATGTATTCAAGACAAACATTTACCATCAATAATTCATTCTGGAATCTGATCAATCCATAAAATTGATTAAATTCTGTATGTACAATATGGAGGCTTCATATTATGCATACAAAATTTCATACAATAAAAATACAGGGCTATTGTATCCTGGATCGAATATGCTGACTAGATTTTTCAACATGCCATCAAATAGGAAGAAACTCAACAATAAACATCATAATTTAATTTTATTCACTTTATTCGTCTACCAGAATTTTTCCACTTAGTCACAATGTTATCTTGTGTCACTTCTGAGGTACCAAAATTCGATGCTATGCTCATGAAGCCTGGTATTGAGCCGCTTACTAGAGACTGAAAAAAATAGAAAAATATTAACAATGCAAGAAATGAATATATATGACAATGCACTTGCAGCCTGGCATATCAAATCAATTGTATCGACCACTAATGTAGCTTGCTGGTGTAATTTGCTGAGGACACAGAAAAAAATTCAGATACAATGAAGATTCAACTACAAAATTGATTACTTCATCTTACATTCAACAAAACACATGATATCATGAAGAAAATTCAGCTTTATAGGACCTTTATTGTTTTTTTTTTCTTAAGTTGTGTGACAAATACAAAAAATATGAATATCAACGCAGAAGTAATGAATTCAGCCAAAATGGAAGCACACACCAGAAGTCTAGGAGCAGTGACAGTTGGTGTGAACGTCATGACATCATATGCAGTTGCTCTTGATTTCATTGTGTGCTGATGCCCCAAGTTACTTTGAGAGTAATTTAATAGTGATGCAACATAGGGCATGCGAGATGGATACCTAATGGAGGCAGAACCTCCATCATCAATATCAGAATGCAGTGTCAGAACGTGGTCCTGACGTAGACCATCCACCACCATCAGAAATATCTTTGGAATGCCACCTTTCAGTGGTACAGGATTTGACCTGCAATGAAAATGGTATGCAATTATTGAATATGATTTACATTGAATAGCACACAAGAACAGGAGCTTGAATACACCAAGTCAAAAGATTGTATGAACTAAAAATAAATTAAACAATAGCAGTAAGAATTCCTTATCATAATTACTTACTTGCTGTACAGATACATTTGCCAATTGAGCACGGCAGGGATTTTGAATCATAGTGCAAGTACATTACTTGTGTGAACAAACATGAATTTTGCGAAAAACTATTTTTTAAGAACATAGTATTGGCTGGAGTTAGAAGATTCAACTTCATTAAAAGATTGGACTTTCATTGGCCATACTTTATACTGTTTTAGAATAGACTTAATAATGCATACATATTTTTATTTCTCAACAAGGAAACTCCTTTCAATGCTATTTTGTTTGTTGATAGCATTGAGTTGCAATCGCCAGATAAGCATCACTTGTCGTCTGCCAGCCCATTGTAAATAATGCTGTCAATCTACAGTATTTTTGTCTAGGCAAGTATGGCTATGTTGCCAAGTGCCAACCTTGCATCTCTGCATGAACAAGCTGTATGTCTTTGATTTATATGTTTTGTACCCTGTGTAGTTGTGCTTTTAGGGCATAACTTCCAGCTAACTCTTCAGCTATTCTCAGCAGTGTATTGGGGATCATACCCTCAGTAACTGTGACTGGCTTATGGCATTTGGCACAGCTCATACCCATGCCACTTTTCTGTATTTCAAATTCCATACCTTGCTATTACACCTTTTGTTGACACTTGTACCTCTGAAGTTGCAATTCTGTCTCCTGGAGCTTTGGACCATCTATGTCAACTTAAAAAATTGTGCCCCTTGTATGGAGAATCTTGCACAGCACTTGAAGATCATTAGTATATGATGAAAAATTCCCCTTGTGTTCATTCCTATCCTCTCCAAAGCAAGGGAATTTAAAGCTGGACCAAAGCGCAACTCTTTAGCCCTTGTGTTGAAAATCGATACAAAAGTTTCCATCAAAGTCAGCACCAATATTTCATCTTTGTGGCAGTGTTTCCAGTTACACTTGGGTTAAAACCACACTCAAATTCAGTAATGGCTTGAAAAGTAAGGACAGATCCTACCTTCTTATTACCTGTAGGCTGTAGGTGAGACTGGACTTGAGTTTGGTATTTCACTCTCAAGACTGAGCAGAGCACACTTTGATTTGATTGTGAGATTTGACTGATTCAATAGGTTACATTTTTAGCAGATGTAGGGGTAAGTCAAGACACTGAAGTCACTGATATTATGATATATGGCAATGATCCAAGAAGTGTGAAGTTCAGGCATGAAGTATCTCAATTACTCACAAAATAGCTGCACAATTGGCTTCCAATCTATCTTGCATCATGAATAAAATGCTGGAAATTAGGGCTGAACAATGAAAGCCTACTGATAAACCATATCATTCTACAAACTTTCATCAAAAAATTTATTAAATCACTTACACAATGGGTTCTCCAACAGGCTGGAAGAAAATAAACCCGGAGAGGAAAGCCATGATAATGGAGCACACTAGCAGCTGCTCAATCAAGAGTGTGATGGGCTTCATTACGTTGATTGGTCAAGATTGACCCAGGTCCCACTCCCAGTCTCTGTGCCCAATCTGCAAAAAACATTATAGAGAATATTATTAACTTGAAACATTATCTAAAATATTATTTTTTAATTAATTTGGAATAAGAATACAGAGCTAAATCTTAATTTAACTGTGCTAAATTCTGAACCAACAAAGTCTGCATCTCTCTCAACCCACACATCCAACATTCCATTGATGAATGAGAGCAACTTAGCAAGTTAGTATATCAATGGTCTCATGACATGAGTCATGAGCAGGATGGAATACTTACTAAAAATTGTGGTTTCTATATTACTTTGAGTTTTGATCCATGTAGGCGGCACTCGCGGCAGGCCAGTGTTTTGATACAAAAATTCAAGTTTGAAAAATTGAAAAGCTGTGTAGCTATATTACCTAATTTGAGAAAAATTTATACTCACTCTGAGACCGTGACTGACGGTGACTCCGTCAATGCCAAATAATGTAATAACTTGCAAATTCAAACAGACTTTCAAAAAATTAATTAGATCGATAAGATTTACATCAGTACATGATAATTAGTTCATTAACAATAATTGAAGACAATGAAGTAAACTTAAATGAAATGACTGAACTTCTGAAGCATTTGCAGAATTTTTGGTTCTCTGTCAGAAAGATCAAAAAAATTAGGTAGGTAGGCAGGCGGCACAGGCCTATACAACTCATCTAAAATGAAAGAATGCAGGTTAGGTATTTAAATATTTTGGCTCCAAAACAGTCAGAGGTCAGTACTCAGTGACAGTCAGTCAGTGGTGTTTCTTGAGAAGCTAAGAAAATAAATAATTTTCTCATCTGTTTTCAATTAGCTAGTTCTAGACTAGTTTACTACTAAGAAAATCCAGAATTGACATTTCCATCTTGACTATTGAGCCCTATTAATATTATTAGTATTAAACTATTATTACTATAAAGACCTGTGCTGTATCTTGCCTAGTATTTGGAATATTGGGCAGAAGTTTCCTAAGCCGGCTTAGCGCCTTAGCCTAAGGTTGCAGCTTGCAGGCGCCAGACAGAAACAATTGTTTTGCACACAATTTGTGGAAATTGCAGGGAAAATCGCATTTTTATTTTTTCACAATAAAAATTGGAAAAGGCCGCAGAAACAGCTGAAATTGACCTTATTCACAGCCACAGGTGTTTTAACCAATCAACGGGTGTGAGTGGCTTCTGCCTTGTGCCCAATTTTTTAATTTCGAGTCAAACTGTCCAATTACAGGTGCAAATTTTAGACCTGTAAGGCTGTAGCCTTGTAGGTAGTGTAGTCTGTAGCCATTTTGAAATATTAGGCAGGATTTCCTATAATTGAGGTTAAAAACAATTATTTCACTGGTGGATTGAAAAGATCGCGGGGGAAAAAATAATTTTGAAAGAAATTTCTCAATCGTTGCGAATATCAGTCCTTTTCGCCACATAGGCCTACCCGTCATACCGTAACAGGCGTAACTAACGAAAGAACGAGAATTTGTGATTTGTCAAATTTACGCCTGGAAAAACTGCTCGTAAAGCTCGTTCAAAAAATACGTGTAAAATTAAAAGTGTCATAGCTGTCGGCTGAGGCTAAACCAGCGTTGCCAACTGGTATATTTCTATACCAGATTTCACAAATCTGGGATTTTCAAACGGTGTCTGAGATGAATATTTTAGATCTGGTATATTTGCCTAAAACTGTTTTTTTCTGATTTACTGCATTAAGTTCACGGGTGGATAGCTAGAGGTCAGCATAGCCAAAGTACACAGTGCGATTCATATACCTTCCCGAACGTAACGCAGACGGGCATCTTCACGGCTTTTGACACAAAGCGCCCACCACAACAGCGCCGTTCAGTCACAGGCCGGAGCGCATACAGGCCGGAGCACAACTGGCCCTACCGCAACAGCTACTCCTAATGTAACCTAACCTAACCTGCGCCGCCTGTTGCGCTCCGGCCAGTTGCGCTGTGGAGCAGTGGCTGTGTTGTGCAAAGCAGATTTACTGTTAGCCGGAGTTACCCACAGCTCATTGGTCTGAGGCTATGTGTAGATATTGTATGCTGATGATTGGCGTTAGGCCCAGGGCCTGTTAGGCTGTTTACTAGTCAATTTTGTTACCCACGGCTGCGTTCCCAGTTCCACCTCTGAAGTTTGAACTTCCCCCAGCGTAGGCGTGTATTATATGGATTACCTTCAGAGTGCCACTAGAGCTTTCTCGCAATTTTTTGGAGCCGCTAGATAACAGCTTCATAAAATAACTCCAATCTAAATGTTAACATTCGAAAATATGGCTTTGTGCAGTAAGAGCACGAGAGTAATGATTCTTGATTGATTACTGAGCAGTGATGATATGGCCTTTGACGATTGAAGCTACGATCTCTGCGACGCAAGCTCCTCCATATCTGTTTGGTATTTTTTAATTCTGGAGTGTCATTCAAGATTTCACTGATCTTGAAAGTCATAATTTATTCATGGAACAGGCTGACTACTGCATAACTAGTCTACTTTTACCAGTCTAGAATGCATTCGGGAGAGAGTTTTCACAAGCCACCTATGTGAAAAACGAGCAACGAAACAGAATTTCAAGTAAGGTACTGGAGTCCATTATTCAAACAAAAAGCTAACAAATCAACCGCTACAAGTGTAGCCGAAATTTTGTGATCACACCCGAAATCTTAGATAAATGCAATACAAGCATGTAAGAAAATAAGGAAGTGGAAGATGACCAGTTTCCGCGGCTTGCTCATCTGGAGTAATGGGAAGAAGTGTCACACTAAAAAAGTGTCAGAATGTTCAAACGGAGGGAAAAAATATAACATGATTAATATGGCTAATTATTTGTCATGCATTGCACTCTTTCGTTGCAATCCAGATAAATGCACAGTAAAAAAGATAAAAAATGACTGTTGCTTTTCTAACCAAAGTTTCTGCCGAATAGTTTCAAAAATTTGAAGTTATTGGGGTGGCCGGGCCCAGTGGTTAAAGTTCAGAGTACCAAGATTGACGCACCAGAGAGGCGCGGGTTCAATCCCAGCTCTGTGCGCCAATTTCACTGGTCAGAATCGGCAAAAAGGCCGGGCGGTTATGCACAGCAGAATTTAGCAGTGCCTTGCGAGTTCGAGACCTCAAAATGCTGTGAATGTTCTGCGATGTTAAGAATCGGCGACAGGCCTACGGCCTAATAAACGCTGAAACCGCTATTATTATTATTGGTCAGTTTTTGAACAATGAAATTTCTGGTATATTTCTAGTACTTTGGGCCAGGCTATCTGGTATTCTCGCCGAAAAAAAAAGTTGGCAACACTGGTCGAAACGTGACTTGTTTGAAACCAAATTAGGCGGCAGAAGCTTCCATCGACCATCGGCATTCGGCAGCTTGAGATGTCGAGAAGCCAGTTGCGTACGGTACTCACCGCCCACCGGGTACTGTGCTCATGAATCATGATGAATGCAATTGCGTACAAAATCAAGTTCTCTAGACACCTGCGAATTTTGATACATTAATTTTTACATTTATTTATTATCGACGAAATTCTTGACTTCAATTCTTCATAAATCCAACTGGCCTTATCCCTCTGAGGTTTTCCAGTCCAGTCCTCTTTGAATTTTATCGATCATCGGGTTGTTTCTTTATTTTCCCCTCCTTTTTGCAAAGTATTTGATATCACAACACAAGGAGTTGACGTGTGTTGACGTCTCTCTCACTCTCAGTGTCTGGCATCGTATCATGAGAGGTCGAAGTACTAGCTGCCTGTGCCTTACTGGATCTGGGTTTGGTACCCCAAACCCATCAGGCCCAGCATCCTCCACGGTACCGGTAGGACTACTAGACACTAGTAGTACTGGAATTGGGGCGCGGTGACTATGGAAAGGACCATGAAAAAAGGACAAAATACTGAAGGAAGAAGGGAGCTCACGGCATGGCATGATGGCCTCATTGGCCTGGCCTCCTAGACCTAGGGCGGTAGGGCCCTGGCCTAGGCCCTAGGCAGCCAGATAGAGACAAGTCAAGCAACATTAAAGGAGAGGCTGGATGCTGGACTTGGAGTTGGAGCTTGGAGCTGATGGGGTCAGGGGTGTAAAAGTTTATGTTATCTGTTGAGGGTAAAATGAAGAAAAAACATGGAAGAGAAATGAAAGAGGAAATTTATTGGGTTTATTATTGCTATATCCCATTTATTACACTGTATACCTAGCTAGTTCAGTAAGTTCACATCTTATGATCTTACTAATTAGCTAGGCTGTTAGCTAAGCCTAAGGGACCTAAGACCAACAGCCTCTTAGGCCCTGGATGACTATTTGTGTTGTAACAAATTATTATTGATACAGTTATTCTTATTTTAATAATGGTGTTTTTTCTTATACTGCCTGGCTGGCCTCCATTCTTGCCAACCTGGCAAGTGGCAACCTCATCATGGAGGCTCCAAGAACTTTTCAAAAATTTCTTTCCATGCTCAGTCATAGCCTCATAGGCTCATAGCAGCAGCCAGCAGGCACCCATGGTGGCAGGGAATTATTGTGAGTACTTATGCGTTTGCAAGAGCATCGCCCGGTCCGGCTCAGCGGGGTCGGTCCACCACGCCCCACGGCCAGTGTAGCTGTCAGCTGACTTTCTTCAGAAGTGCAAAAGCTTTTGCCGGTGAAGGTGTTTTACGATCGGTCTGTAAAGAAGCGTTGATCGGTTCAAAATGACATAAGAACAGGTTCTTTTGAATAACCTATGGATTGCCACCATGCAGGCACCCATGTTGACAAATGCACTAATAGCCACTATCAACTCATGGTGGAATTCTAGGAAATGGCTAGTCATTTTTTTAATCATTTAGATGATTAGATCCACCAGCCACCAGGAGGTCCAGGAGTCCACTGTCCAGGATAAGTGCTGGGGCTGTGCTGGAGGAGCAGAGCAGGGGCAGAGCACCAGCTCCGGCCATAGACCCTTCAGAAACCCAATTACCCAGACACACACGCCAAGCACTAGCACAACTCCGTACAAACAAGTCCCCCCTACTACACCAATACCTACACAAGATAGATCCAGTCACACATCCGTCCCCTCTTCGTTCACTCTGTCAGAGACATGAACACAACACCAACCACCAGTTTGACTGCTCGGAGCTGGTCACGCCCTTGTCGCCCTTGATTTTGTGGAGCTCTCCTATCAAGGTGGCAGGGTTGTTGGCGCGCTGGGGAGAGAGGTTGGGCTGGCCGCACTCCGCAGAAATGGTTGTAGGGCCTGTCCCGCATTTGTCGTGGGACGGGAAGGGCGAACAACAACAGTGGGCTCCCATTTTTTTGGGCTCCCCTTTGAGGAGCAGGGGGAAGCAGGCTGGCAGGAGCGGCAGGGCTTGTTCTGTTACAATAGGAGCAGGAGTGCGATGCTGCTGCTGCTGGCCTGCTCATATTGGAGCACGTTTGTGCTGGCTGCTGCTGCCATTCCTCTCCTATTAGGATGTGCTCCCCAATCCCCATCGTGACAAACGAGTGATTTTTTAGAATCAGTTCATATATATTTTTCTCCTTTACTACTAATATCTTGTGTATGATGATGTTGGTATCCATAATACCTTGCTAGTTGCTGGTCTACTTATAGGAGTTGAAATTTAAATTAAAGAAGAGTCTAAAAAA